GGGTTAGGAGGCCACTGTGATAATCCAGGCAGTGAAGAGAGAAGGGTAAGGGAGGGAAGGAAGAGAGGAGGAGGAGGAAGACAGGAGGGAAACAGGAGGGGGGGCCTCACTCCTATTGTGAAGGTAAAGTCAGCAGGGCCTGTTACGGACCAGATACGGGGTATGAGGGGGAGGGCTAAGGACAACCCCAAGATTTCCAGCTCAAGCAAGTGCCGTGTACTGAGACTGGATAGAGAAGTCTGTCCATTACACATCCATTATGAGTCTGTAATATGACTATGTACAGATACAACTATGAGAATGGCCTTCTGAGGGGTCATTTTCAGGAAAAAAAAAAAACAAAGAAAAAAGCAGTTTACCTTACCTTCAGGCACTGACAGAACATTTTGTACCTACAGCTTCACCTCTTCTACTACATTCAGAAAGCCCTCTATCCCCCCTCCTACAGACAGGCCAGGCAGGGTCGGACAATTCAAAAGCAGTTCCAAGCACAGTAGATAGTGTGGTTCCTGGCCAGGGGCAATTCCGCCCTATGAGCAATGTCCGGAGGTGGCTACTGCCATCTAGTGCGACACAGGCTCAGAATGCTGCTACACATCTCACAGTGCCCAAGACCGCCCCCTAAAACAGAGTTATCCAGTCCCAAATGTCCAGAAGTGCCACCGTTGAGAAATCTTTGTACAGTGGCAAGAATCCAGGCTGTGAGATGGAGCTACCTGGGCTTGAATCTAGGACACCTCTCCACCTTTCTGTAGTCTTTTCCGGGTACGAAGGATGTGCTAAAGGACCATTCTTCTATGCCAGCATTGCATGTGACTTGGGAGCTTACTAATCCCAAAGTCAGGGAGGAACCCACGGGGATGGAGAAGGAAGCCAGGCCAGGGTTCTCACACCTGAGGGGGCTAACTAGTCACAGCACCACAGAGCCAAGGCCAAGTTCTTACCCTAAACCACCCCCAGCACATACAAGTCTTCTCCCCAGGAGCGCCCATGCAGCTTTCCTGCAGCAGGCGGGACTTACTGCGCTAGGCGCAGAAGAACTACAACAGTGATGTGGGCCGAGCTTTAAACACTGAATCTCAGAGAGCCCTTCTTCCCTTTAAAATGATTTTTCAAGCTTGCCCCATCAAAGAGAATGTCTTAGTTTGATACTGATCTTAACATTTCTCTAACGTTTGCTAGTCTCCTTTATGTGGAAGCCCCAGACTCAGTGCCTTCAGCAGGCAACAGAACCCGGCTAGAACTTAACAGCGTTTACTCTATTTATAGTTACGTTTTAGTGAAAAAAAGTGATGATACCAGCTTTCCATTTTTCGTGGAGATACTGGGTTCATTACTGGTTTCCTTTTAAAATGCTGTTAGAGTTTTGTTGTTTCTTTTTTCCCTTTTTTTTAAAGGGGTTAATTTAAAGAAACATTAAGTATTAATGGGTGATGTGGAATACAGTAAAAATCAGGAAGGAGGTACAGAAATGACTAAGATTTGAGAAACACTGTTTAGCTTCTCTGACATTCCCAAAGCAAGAGCCTAGCTTGGCCTTCCCCCAACCCTTCTCACCTACAGCTCGCTTCCTTCTCGGTGACATTCCCATCCACCTGAGGACAACTTGTAAGCTGTCACAGGAATGTTGACGTATCAATTGGATAAGCCAGGGAAGACGTTCATTCTGTTCAACAACCAGCTCTCTGCTAGGCCCTGGACATACCCATCCAGTCTCCAGTAGGGGGCTGGGCTAAATTACGGCTAATGTTCTAGCCATTAGAAACCGAATCCATCTCAATTCTTACCATCAATTATCACAATGCCTCTGCAGGCAAACTATTTAATAGCATAACATTTTCTCTCCCCACAGAGGCCAACCCAAGCAGGGGCACTCTCTGTCTTTCCTACCAGACCCTTTATAGAGAAAACCCCCTTCTCAGGGTAGCAGGGCCTGCACTTCCACTGTCTGTGCAACACTTGAACACACATCTCTCAGCTGTGTCTTTTAGAAAGGAGACGTTCCCTCCCAGGCCCAGGTCAGAAGTGAACATTTTCTTCTTCCCCGGTAGCAGCAGTGTCCAGGGCTGGTGACCCATGCCATGACCCAGAAAATGCGCAAGATCCAAAAGAAAGAGATCAATCAGCCGTGGGCCTTGAACCCCAGTTCTGGGAGCGACGTGCAGCACTTACCTTCTACCGAGGGGGAGAAGATGATGAGATTGTCGTAGAGGAACTCCCCGTACTTAATGAGGGACAGGCTCGGGTCATCTGCGGTCTTGAATGTGAGTTCAAAGGCCCTGTCTGGACGAGAACAGGGAGCTGAGGCAGACGGGACGCCAGGGGAAAGCGCCGCTGCAGAGACCACGGCCGCCCGCCGCGAGCGAGAGGCCAGAGTGGACAGCCTCTTCGTGGAAAATCGGAAGGAGCGAGGGAGGGTGGTCGCTGCCCTGGGGGTCGGGAGCTTTTCCAACCCGACTTTCCCCCACCGCCCCCTCGGGCCCCGGTCTCACCCTTCAGGCTTCGGAAGAAAAGCGAGTGCGTCTCCCGCAGGTTGAGGTTGTCCAGCAGCACTAAGGTGCGAGGACCGCTGGCGCAGGCCGGGCCAAGCAAGGGCAGCAGCAGCCACAGGAGAGACCAAGCGCGGGCCCCGGCGCCGGGCTCCATCTTCTTCCTTCTGCCAAGATCCCAAGCACCTGGGCACAGGAAGTGCCCCGTCTAGGCTGCCCAATCGCAGCTCGTGGTCTTGGAGTAATACCCGGAAGTGATCTGGGTACGCCGCGGCCCGCCAGCCGCGGCCGCCGCCGGGACGGAGATGATGGGAGAGCATCACCGGAAGTGCCCCGGTTGGGGGCGGAGTCTCTAAACTCTATTGGCGGACGGGGTGAGAGGTCCCGCCTCCTCAAAGGAAAAGGTTCAATCCTAGAAAGACAGCTCCGCAGCCGCAGCCAGTCAAAAAGGCCGAGCGCCCGTAGGCTCCGCCCAGGCCGGACTCCCGCCCAGACCCCAGATCCCGCTTCTTCATCAGACCGGCCAGTCCTTCTTGGGACCTTGGGCGGTGGTGGCCGCCAGGGAGCACCTCCTCCGTTAGGGTTAGGCTGGAAATAGAAACGACGGCGAGGCCCAGCTCTCCCACTCACCTGCGGCCTTTGGAAAAAGCCTGGGCTCGTGGGAGCTCGAGGACAGGTTTGAAGCACCCAGTGCAGAGTGAGGCTGAGCATCAGCCCCACCACGGGTCTGAGGAAAAGCTGCCGCAATCAGTTCCAAGATTTCAGTGACTCTCTGGTCCCAACCACAATCCTGGGGCAAATGGTGAAGGTAATTGCGGAGAGAGAAGGTAGCTGTTCTGACCTTTCACATTTGTCCTCGAAGCGCAAAAGTCAAAATCTCCCTCCATCCGTCTCCTTAACTTTTTCTACCTCCTCTCCGTCTCCACTGGCTCCGCTGTGAGTTCAGCCTCACCCCTCCCCTGGGCCCCAGTCCAGCAGTCCCGCCCTTCTGCGTATGATCCCACATCGGTCCCCCTGGAACTCAGACCCAGTGATGCCATTTGGTGGCTTAGGAGTCTGCCACAGCTCAGGGACACCCAAGACTCCTCACTCAGGTCTCTATCGAAGCTGATCTTGGCAGCCACATCCTCCTCTCAGCCCTGCTCAGGGCTTCCCTGCTGCAGGGCTCCAACCTTGAACACACTCCACCTCCTGCCTTTGCTCATGCCCTCCTCATTCCCATCTTAAGCCCCCCAGGATCTTCTCCATCCTTTATGATAGCCCTACCCTTCACAAGGGCACTCTGTTCCCCATAAACACCCGATCTTTATCCTTCTCAACACGGGTCCTGCAGCCTGCCTGCAGTTAGACTGATCCCCAGGGCGTGAGCTTGGCCCAGGCATGTGGCTTGTGGGATCCACCACAGTAATTAATGCAAAATGCAGAGGAGAACAAACAAGGGGGACTAATACGGGGCACCTGCTACGTGCTGGGAACATCACTTAACTCTCATTGAACCAATACCCCTAGGAGGCAGCTGTTCCCCTCTCACAGATGGAGCCCAGGGTGAAATGAGAGTCTCCTCTTCAACCAAAGGCCAGGCCTTTTCCCTCAGATGGTGGGGCCCTCCTGCAGGGCAGGCCTGGGATACGAAGGGCAAGGGGAGGGCTGTGCCCTCAATAGCGGGGATGACCTGGGCTCATTCCTGGCCACTTCAGGGCACCCAGTTCCAGCACAGCCCCTGAGGCCACACCCCTGGCCTTTTTCTGGGTTTCAGCAAGACACAATCTTTATTGTCCAAAACAAGGGATCTGCTTTCCTAACTCAGATCTTTGGAGAATTGAATGAGGTGCTCGCCCCAGAAAAATGCACTTGTACTCACAAGTGTGGGGAGTTACGGAAACCCCACAGCCCGTTTTTAAAGGCATCAGGTAGTTAAGAAACACCGCTCCAAAAGGCGCTTCCCTGTGAAGGCCAGGCAGCCGTGGCAGGAGGGGCCCCAATGACACTGTCAGAGGACTGGGGAAGGGAGCTCATCGGTAAAAGGCAGTTTATTGGGGCAGCCTCATGTGGGGAAGCCTCCTCTAGGCCACACACCAGCTGGGTGTGAGCTCCAAGACCCCTGTGCCCACGCCATCCAGCTTCCTGGCCTGATAGACAAGAGGCATGATGGTCTAGCACCGAGATGCTGTCCTTGATCAACACGGAGTTGCTGCCCACTCTTTTGGGGCTGCTGGTGAACGCCGTGAGGTTTCTGAGCCCATCGAGGCACAGAGTAACGGAACGGGGGTGGGGGGCACGCGCGGCAGGCTGTGGCAGGTGAGCAGATAGAACACTGGTGTGGCATGGAGAGCCGGAGTGCACCTCCACAAGGATGGGTAACAGGGAAGGGAAAGCCTCTTCCCAGGGCAAGGACCCCTCTCGAGCATCCGGACACCATGGGGGCCATGGGGAGGAGGCCTGGCGGGGGTCGGGGGGCGGCCTGGCAGTCTCACGGAAGCCCCAAGGCAGGGCAGCAGCAGGCGGCCGTGTTCACAGAGGCTCACTGCCAAAGCTGCTTTTGCTTTTCTTACGCTTGGCCTTGGAAAAGGGAATGTCAAGGGACTCGAGGCGGAAGGGCCGGGGCTGGGGCATTTCGGGGGCCTGGGTAGGCGACATGGCAGAGGTGTTGCTGAGTGGGGAGCCGAGGCCAGGGGGTGAGCTGTGATGCCCTGTGGAGAAGGGGGCAGAGAAGGCAGTGAGCCAAGGGACACGGGGATGGGGAGCCCACCTCACCCCGCCCAGCTGAAGGTCTGGTCCCACCAGAGGGTCTGGGCCAGGAGCTCGGAGTTCTAGAGACTCAGACTCAGGCAGCCCAGGATCTTGAGCCAGACAGGCCTGCACTCGGGGCCCAGCTGCATGCAACTGTGACCTCGGGGCTCAGGGCCTCAGTTTCCTCATCTGCAACATGGGCACAGTGCCGGGTCCTCAACTGATGTTCATTTGTGTCCTGTGCTGTTTTTCCTTCCTGATTCTCAGCTCTACTGAACTCTGCCTCCTCAACAGTCTCAACGTAGAACTGAGATTTGCTTTTTGTGGCTATTATAAGCTCTGTGGCCTTTGATTTTGCTTTTAGAAATGGAAGAACGTGGGGCACCTGGGTGGCTCAATTAAGCATCCAGCTCTTAACTTGGTTTTGGCTCAGGTCATGATCTCAGGGTTGTGAGATCGAGCCAGCGTCAGGCTCCTCAGTGGAGAGTCTGCCTAAGACTCTCCCTCCCCCTCTCCCTCTGCCCCTCCCCTGTGCTCTCATGCTCTCTCTCTCAAATAAATACATAAATAAAATCTTGAAAACAGAAATGGAAAAACAAAGTGACTTTCAATTCTTGCTTTTAAAAGTGTTTCACTTCTGTGGCCCCGTCTGCCCCCTTTGGCTCCGTGGGAGAAAGCCACACTACTGACATTTGTGGAAGCCGGTGAGCACGTGCCAGCACCCCAGCTGTGTGTCACAGGCCTCCTGTGCTCAGGGGAGGCAGAGGAACCAAACACGGCGGCTCTGTGCCAGGAGAGGAAGGGGGACAGGGAGAGGGAGTCTGGGCACGGGACACACACACCGTGTGCCAGGCTCTGGGCTGGGCCGCTCCCCCACCTCTTCTCACCTAACCCTGGGAGGCAGGCATGCCCCCTCAGTGTACAGCTGAGGAAACTGAGGCTCAGGGATGGGAAGGGGTTTTTACCCTGGACCTGACTCCAACCCACCCATCACGTCTATCCCAGCTGGCAGAAGGCTGGGCAGGGCTCTCCCTGGGAGCGGCAGCAGGACAGGAGGTGGGCGGGGCTCTCACCGAGGCTCTTCCTGGGATCCGTGCTGAGGATCTGGCTGGCTCGCTTGGACCGGAAGTAGTTACTGGCAATGTTCTCGCTGTCGCTCCGACTGAGCATCAGCCTGTAGCGGTCTTCTTCCTGCTGAGATTCCACGTTCTTGTGGGTCAACGCCCTTTGTTTCTACAGTCCTCCCCTCTGCAAGCCTGCTGGGGTGGGAGCCTCCCAGCCCACTCTCTGGACCCCACTAGAGACCCCAGACTCCTGCGGTGGGATCCGGGCAGCTCGGGAGAGTCACAGCTCCTGCCAAGCCGATGCCACCTGCCTTCCTTGGGATAGGAAGTGTCTTGTTCTCCAGTACCACGTAGTCCAAACCCATCACGACATATTCACAGACTAGGAATGCCCCAAGGGCACCATCAAGGTCATTACAACAGGAGCCCCCATCTCTCATCCCCAAAGACTATGATTTGTCACCACTATAACAGACTCTGCATCGGCCTGACTCTCCCTTCAGGGCTACCCTTCTCCCCCTCGACATGGTCCTGGTGAGGCGACCGTTCTCTGTGCCCTAACACCACCACACCCTCTCGCCCATGCCCGGCTGCACAACTGGGCATGTGACCAGCCCGAACCAGTCACAGAAATATACATCTTCCGGACATAAGTCCCTAGTCCAAGAGCAGGCCCCCTGACCCAGACACGGCTGATCAGAATCTTTCCACAAGGGCTGGTTTAAGATGTGGTAAGAGACTGGGTCTCTTCCTCTTGGATCCCCATCTTTCCTGCCGTGCACAGAAAGCCTGCCTGGGTCGAAGCTGGCACCGCCAGGGAAGCGGAACCGAGAGGTGGAGAAGCGCACAGAAAGACGGCGTGCTCTACAGGAAGGTTTCCTGACCTCCGCTGTTATAATACGAAACATGGAAGATGGGAGAACCAAGTGACTCTGGAAGCCCAGTTACTGTTTTGTGGGCCCTTGAGGGCCCTTTGGTTGGAGGATCCCAGCGAGGGCCCAGGGAACCAGAATGCATGGCCTGGCCTCTGCGACTGAAGACGAAGCTTCGGTCCTTGGTCAGCGGGATGGACTTTCCCTCTGGTCTTTAGGACCATAAGTGCCTTTGAATGAGACCCAGAGCAGGGGAGAGTCCAAGAGAGAGACACAGAAAAGATCGCCTCCTGCGCTGACCCTCAGGTGGGAGGGAAGTAAAAGCCCAGGGCCCTATAGGGAGGCTGACCCGCAAGGCCCCCCCACCCCACACCAGGTCCCCAAGCCTCACCCCCTCCCCCACTGGCCTTACCGTGCCTGGTTCACCATTGTCTGCTGTGGAGGCTTTGCGGACTGCCTTGTTCTGTGGCCCTGTTGGAACTGCTGTGAGAAACACAAGCTGAAGTCACTGCTTCCTGGTCCCCAGTCCGCGGGCCAGAGGGCCAGGGTGGGCAGCACTTGCCCAAGCTCGCAGGCCCGGAGCGAGGGGAGCACACTGCCCAGGCCACAAGATGACTTTGGGAAACATACCAGGAGGGCTCAGATGCCAAAGCAGCCATTCTCCTGCTTCCCACAACCCAGCGGGCGGGAGAAACCCTGCTGACAGATGCCGGCGCTTGGGAAATGACTCAGAGACTGAACAAACATTCTCTGATGGGGTGCTCCCAGCTGTGAGGCCAGAGATAGACCTTCGAGACCACCTTCCCCAGCCCCTTCTTTGTGAAGATCCGGGACCAAGGCCCAGAGAGAAACAGTGACCTTCATAAGGTCACATGGAAATCAGGGCCAAAAGCAGAAGGTGAACCCATTTCTATCCCGGGTCCTGGGACTCGCGGCTCTGACTGGGACCCTGGTTCAGTCACTTCTCTATCTGAGGTTCCAGCTCCTTAGATGTCAAACAGGAGCGATCATCTTTGCCCTCCCCCGGAGTGCTGGGGGAGCTAATGAATGAAGATGGCGACAGTGACCAAACGTAGCACGCACTTGCCTCGGGCCGGCCATGGCGCTAAGGGCGTCACACGCATGAACACATGCCAAGCCACCCGGCGATTTTACAGAAGGTGCAGTTACTAATCCCCATTTCACAGATGAGGACACCGAGTCCCAAAGAGGCCACACAGGGAGCAGTGGAGCACAAATTCCAGCCCACATCTGTCTGACTCCAGAGCACACCACTTCTCTCTCGGGTCCCCACCGTCTTGGAGCCCCAGGGTCCCCCCTGTGGCTGCCGCACCCACAGCCAGCAAGCCCGGGGCCCCAGCTCCGGGTCAGCCCGCAGGAGGGCACGCTGTGCGGAGGAGGGCCGAGGGGACAGCCGAGCACCTGACCTACTGGGAGGCTGGTTTTTATGATGATGGGCTCGGGGATCTTCCAGAAGCCGTTGTCCTCGTCCCAGCAGGCCTCACGCCTTATCTTCTCCAGGTTGCTGTAGTTACAGTCCCGGCGGATGAGGGGCTGCACCTGCTCCAGGAGCTGCTGGAGGAGCATGGAGTCGCGCTCCTGCCGGCGGATGGTGGCCAAGTAATCGATCTTCTCCAGCTGGAACTCCGACTGCAGGTCTTTGATCTCCACCTCTGCTGCCCGGAGCTGAAAGCAAGGGGTCGGGGGCAGCAAGAGGTGAGCAGGGAAGACACCGAGCCATGTCACCATCTGCCCACCTGTAGCACCCACGGCCTGCGCCTCTAGCCGCCCACTCGCCATGCGGGCGCTGACCCGCCCATCCACCCACGTCCGCCGCCCATCTGTCCACTGGCACTAAATGAGCACCTACTGTGTCCATAGCCCTGCAGGAAACAGGAAAAGGACTCACTTATCAGCACCCCCTGCCGGCCCCTAGGATGATCCCGCACAAACACATTTTATCCAGGAGCCTCCGATAAAGTGCCACACATAACACTGGGGTTACCATGTCCTAAAAGGTCAGAAAGTTGTACAAATCCTTTTCCTGAGGGGAGTGGAGGCATCAACTCTCAGCCTCAGCAGTGATGGCTCTCCCATGACCACGGCCAAGTTATGAGGTGACAGATGTCGGACTTAAGAGGCAGAGACACCCCGATTTGACCATGGATTCCACACTTTTGTGATCTCCTGCCTGGGGCTGACTGAATGGAGATTCCCCCCAAGCACAGGTGACTCCCAGCTGCAACCATAACCCTGCTGTCCCTGAACCCCAAGACTCCTGGGTGCACCGTCTGTTTCCTTAAAGAGCAGGTAGAGTTTGGTTAGAAAAGAAGGATGTTTTCAGTTCACAGGGATGGTCATTACATGTAACCAGGCGAGAATGGATGCTGCCTGGTAGGACATAGGTGGGGAATTAATAATGCTCCATTCCTTAAGCTGGATGGTGGATACGTGCTATTAGGGTAAAAACTTTACATATTTTTTTACATCTGGAAAGATCTGGAATCCTTCACAGTGACTTTTGTAACAGATTTATTGAGATAGAATTCTCATGCCCTACAACTCACCCATTTAACATGTACAAGTCAATGGTTTCTAGTATATTCCAAGTAGTGCAGCCATCAGCATGGTCAGGTTTAGAACATCTCATGATCCAGAAAAGGTACTCATCCTCTGCTTCTCCCCAACCCCCAGCCCTATGCAACCACCAATCCACTTTCTGTTTCTCTAGATTTGCTTATTCCAGAAATTTCATATCAAAGTAATATACAATATATGATCTTCTGCGTGTGGCTTCTTGCACTTAACACTGTTTTCAAGGTTCATCCCTGTCAGAGCATGTGTCAGGACTTCCTTTTCTTATTTTTAAAGATTTACTTATTTATTTGAGAGAGACAGAGTGGGGGAGGGGCAGAGTGAGAAAGTGAGACTCTCAAGCAGACGCCCCGCTGAGCATGGAGCCTGAAGCAGGGCTCAATCTCACGACCCTAAGATCACGACCTGAGCTGAAACCAAGAGTCAGATGCTTAAATGACGGAGCCACCCAGGAGCCCCAGGATTTCATTCCTTTTTACTGCCAAATAATATTCCATCGTGTGGCTATACCACATTGTATTTTCCCTTCATGACTGTTTCCACTTTGAGGTTAGAATGAATATTGCTATGAACATTCGTGTACAAATTTTTCTGTGGCCGTATTTTCCTTTCTCTTGCTTGTAACTGCTGGGTCACAGGGTAACACTATGTTCAACCAATAGAGGAAATGCCGGACGATTTTCCAAAGCAGCTGAACCATTTTACATTCCCACCAGCAATGTATGAGGACAGTCATTTCTCCACCTCCTTGCCGATGTCTGTTACTACCTGTTTTATTACAGCTAACCCCCGTGGGTGTGAGAGGGTAGCTCTACACCATAGATGGTAGTTTTGTATTGGAGATTTGCGTTTCCCTGGTGGCTAATGATATTCAGCACCGAGTTTCTTGTGTTCATTGCCCATCTGTTTATCTTCTTTGGAGAAATGCCTGTTCAGATCCTTTGCCCATTTCTAAATTGGATTATTTGTCTTTTCATTCTTTTTTTTAATGTCTTTTTTGTCTTTTTATTATTTTTATATGTCATAAGGGTTCTTTATATATTCTGGATATAAGCACCTTATTGTGATATATTACTTGCAAATATTTTCTCTCATTCTATGGGCTGCATTTTCTCTTTCCTGATAGTATCCTTTGAAGCACAAAAGTTTTAATTTTGATTAAGTCCAATGTATCTATTTTTTTCCCTTTGTTGTTTGTGCTTTGGTATCATACCTAAGAAAGCAATGTCTAATTTATTTTTTTTTAAGATTTTATTTATTTACTTGAGAGAGAGTGAGGGAGAGAGAGAGAAAGAGCGAGAGAGAGAGAGAGAGAGAGAGAGCGCGCACAGAGGGAGAGGGAGAAGCGGACTCCCCACTGAGCAGGAAGTCTGACTCAGGGCTCCATCCCAGGACCCTGGGATCATGACCTGAGGCAAAGGCAGCTGCTTAACTGACTGAGCCACCCAGGTGCTCCAGCAGTGTCGAATTTAAGGTAACAAAGATTTACACTTTTGAGTTTTATAGTTTTAGCTCTTCCATTTAGTTTCTTGATCCATTTTTTAATTAATCTGTGTATATGGTGTGAGGTTGGGGTCCAACATCATTCTTTGCCATGCAGGAATCTAGTTGTCCCAGCACAAATTGTTGAAAAGACTGTAATTTCTTCACTGAATAATCTTGGCACCCTTGTCGAAAATCAACTGACTATAAATACGAAGGTTATTTACAGACTCTTAGTTCATTCCATTGATCTATATGCCTGTCTTCATACCAGTACCACACAGTCTGGATTACTGTAAACGTGTAGTATGTTTTGAAATAAAGAAGTGTGAGTCCTCCAACTTTGTTCTTTTCAAGATTGTTTTGACTATTCTGTCTCTGGAATTTCTATATGAACTTTAGGGTCAGCATGTCAGTCGTTGCAAAGAAGTCATTTGGGACTTTGATAGTGATTGCCTTGAGTCTGTAAAACAGTTTGAAGAGTATTCCCATCTAATCATTATTAAGTCTTCCAATCCATGAACATGGGGTCTTTCCATTTATTTAGGTATTCTTAATTTCTTTCAACAAGGTTTTATAGTTTGGGGAATATAAGCTTTATACTTCTTTTGTTAAATTTATTCCTAAGTATTTATTCTTTATTGATGTATTGTAAATGAAAATTTTTTAAATGTTTATTCTTTTTTCTTAAGATTTTATTCATTTATTTGAGAGAGAGAGAGCATGCACAAGCAGGGGGAGCAGCAAGTAAAGGGAGAGGGAGAAGCAGGCTCCCCACTGAGCAAGGAGCCCTATGTTGGGGTAGATTCCAGGACCCTGGGATCATGATCTGAGCCAAAGGCAGACACCCAATGACTGAGCCACCCAGCACCCCATGGAATTATTGTTTTTTTTTAATGTTTATGGATATTATATATTTTTATTTAAGTAGTCTCCACATCCAATGTGGAGGTTTAAACTCATGACTCTGAGATCAAGAATCTCATACTCTACAGACTGAACTAGCCAGGTGCCCCAAGGAATTGTTTTCTTAATTTTATTTGTAGATTGTTCATTGCAAGTGTGTAGAAATACAATTGCTTTTTGCTTATTGATCTTGTATTCTGCAACCTTGCTGAACTTGTTAATTGATCCTAGTAGGTAGCGTTTTTTGTGTTTTTTAAAGCAGATTCCTTAGGACTTTCTACATAAAAGATCATGTCATCTATAAATAGAAATAATTTTATCTATTCTTTTCCAATCTGAATGCCTTTTATTTCACTTTCTTGCCTACTACCCCAACTAGAACCTCCAGCCCAATGTTGAACAGAAGTGGTGAGAGCAGACATCCTTGTCTTGTTCCTAATCATAGGGGTAAAGCTTTCAATCTCTCCCCATTAAGTATGATGTTACCTGTGGACATTTCATAGATGTCTTTTATCAGAATGAATTAGTTCCCTTCTATTCCTAGTTTCCTGAGTGTTTTTACCATAATAGGTGTTAAATTTTTTTCATATACTTTTTCTGTATCATTAAGATGATTGCGTGGGTTTTGTCCTTTATTCTATTGATATGGTATATTACATTAATTGATTTGGGATACTAAACCAACCTTGCATTCCTATGCTAAATCACACTTTGGCATGATGTATAATTTGGTTTGCTAATATCTTGTGGAGCATTTTCTGTCTATATTCATAAGAAATACTAGTCTATAGTTTTCTTGTTATGTCTTTCTATGGTTTTGGTATCAGGTGATATGCGCCCCATAGAATAAGTTAAGAAGTGTTTCCTTCTATTTCACAATTATTTTTTTAATGTTTTTTAGGGGCACCTGGGTGGCTCAGTGGGTTAAGCCTCTGCCTTCAGCTCAGGTCATGATCTCCAGGTCCTGGGATCAAGCCCCACATTATTGGGGGGGGGGGTCCCTGCTCAGCAGGGAGACTGCTTCTCCCTCTCCCTCTGCTTCTCCTCCCTGCTCATGCTCTCTCTCTCTCTCTTTCTCTCAAACAAAGTCCTGGGTACCTAGGGATGATGGCAGCTACCTAAATCTGAATCTCTCCATGGAGACCCTCTGAAACAACACACAGAACAGGGAAAGAAAATGAAACCCCCTCCGCCCAGCCTACACCAGCAGGTCCAAAATACCAGAAGTCCAGCAGAGAGCTGGAGGGCCTGCCCCACAGCGGGAGGAGTGGAAAGCACCCAGCAAAGTGTGGAAGGGGGAGGGCAAGGTGCTGGAAGGCAGATAACATCACTCCCCCAATGAGAAAGCCCTACTTTGAGCAGGGAAATACTGAGGATAGATCGGATACTGCAAAACCCAGAATGCACTGGAATGCAGGTCGGTCTCTGCAAATCTCTGGAGAGACCGAGGGGTGAGTCTCTACAAGGCATTGCTTCTGGACAGTGTTTAGAAGTGGGAGACCCCTTGAGGTGCAAAATAAAAGTCTGCAGAAACAAGAGACCCCTCCCACTGAAAGAGAGATTGAGAGGAAAGAGTGGACCCAAAAATGAGAGCGAGATTTGGAAGGGAAAGTCTCGACCCCTGTGATTTCCACCCCTTAGGACATGCCCGTAACTATGTTCCTCTTCCACAGCAAAAAGGACTTTGCAAATGTAATTAAGGTTATTAATCTGTTGACTTTAAAACTGGGAGATTATCCTGGATCACCTGGTGAGCCCACTGTAAACACGTGGTGTGACCAAGGGGTGTGGAGAACCAGGCAAAGGAGAAGTGATGCTTTAGATGAAGGAGAGTCAGAGAGCTGAAGCCTAGGAGGGGTCGGCCCCGGCGGTCTCTGAGGGGGCCAGGGGGCAGGCGGCCTCTAGAAACAGAATGACCCCCAGTGGACAGCCAGCAAGGACATGGGATCCTCAGTCCTACAGCCGCATCAGCCTGAGTCCTGTCAACAACCTGACTGACCCTGGAAACGGATTCTTCCTTAGAACCTCTGAGGAAAACCAGCCCTGCCCACACCTTGGTCCCAGCCATATGGAATTCTAAGCAGAGGAGTAAGTCATGCTAGAGCTGGACCGTGACCCAAAGAACTGTAAGATAGTAAGTTTTTTGTTCTTTTAGGCAACTCTATCTGTGGTGACAGCTAACTCCCACAGCAATAGGGGACAGTCTATTTAATACTGCACTTCACTACAGGAACAGAAGAGTGTGCTGTCGACTGAGCAAACCCAGCCAGCTGCCCAAACCCTCACCTCTGCTTTCAGCTGGTCCTGAAAGTGCAGAAAAACAAGACACTGCAAAATACACAGAAAAGAGCAGAAGTAGCTAATCAAAGCTGCTCTTTGAAGAAAGAGGAAATGAAAATCAAAGCATTTCAGAAGAAAATCCCCCCCCCAAAGCATGAGCACATAGAACCAAAATATAACCCAACATCCCAATGTGCATAAAATTTCCTTCAGTTCACACATATGAACATTTCAAATCAGCAATCCAGAAACCTTAAAGTGGAAACGGACAGAAACGAAGAAGGTATAAAATGGGACGTTTAACCAAACTCCAGAAAGAATTTTTCAAAACTTAGGTGCACAGATGAGATTACAAGATATCCCAGGAAGAACAAATGTGGCTGAAAATATAAAAAGGGTATTAAGAAAAAGCACGAAAATAACCAAGAAAATGTAAACACTACAGAGGTTCAAAGAGGGAAAAAGCATAGGGACGCCTGGGTGGCTCAGTTGGTTAAGCAGCTGCCTTCGGCTCAGGTCATGATCCCGGCGTCCTGGGATCGAGTCCCACATCGGGCTCCTTGCTCATCAGGGAGCCTGCTTCTCCCTCTGCCTGCCATTCTGTCTGCCTGTGCTTGCTCTCTCTCCCTCTCCCTCTCTCTGACAAATAAAAAAAAAAAAATTTTAAAAAAAAAAAAAAAAAGAGGGGAAAAGCATCAGCTTCTGCTTTGGTGAGATCTTTGGGTGAAAGGTGTCAGCTGGGGATGAGAGGTGCCCTGCGGTTGGCCGAGGGGGAGGAGTCAGGGGCCAGAGCCCCTGGGGGTGTGCCGAGGGAAGCAGATGGTAGCTCCTCCCCTGTTGTCCTCACTCCCCGTGCTCAGTCATATTTACTTCCCTTCTTCTCCTGGAGCCACTACGCTCATATTGGGTACTGGTCCCTCCCCCAGCCTGGAAGGCTCTGCTTTGCGGTACAACCTAGCCCCACCTTTCCTAAGGTTCAGGTTCCACTTCAGAAGCCACCAGCTCCAGAGAACGTCCCTGCCCCCCACCCAAGGTGGCCTCCGGGAACTTCTAGGGTTCTGCTAATGCTCAGTTCCCCAGTGCGGGTGCTGGTTCTATGGGTGCGTTCACTTTGCGGAAATGAGCTAAGTTGCGTACTTGTGATTTGCACGTGTGTACCTCAATCCAAGAAAAAAATCAAAATAAAGCCACCTGATGTGGAAAACAAAGGCAGAAGAAAAATGATTAAATTTCCTTACTGCCTACAGCCCATGGACATGTCCTTGAAACAGGCAAAGGGACATTCCTCTAGGAGCTCAGCTGCCTCGATGTTGACACTTTGTTTAAGGGCAAGAGGCGATCCTAGCCTGATCCCCACCCCCGACGCCCACCAGGATCCTGGAAGCCTACTTTAACATATAAAAATTCCTTTGGAAACTTCCTTTATCTCTACCCGCCAAGATACGTGCTGGCAACTGTCCCCCAAGCCTATGGCCCACCGATACACACCTGAAAGGTCCATGACTCGGGTGTTACTAGATGGTCATGAATGACCTTTCCCCAACAATAGCTAGCCCCCTCAAGGTCCTGGAACCTTGCTTCCAAAATTCCTCGGAGGCTCATGCTATCCCAGCAGGCCACTCCTCCTGGCCCCGGTGCAGCTCTTTCTGCCCACAGGTCCTGTGCCCGTGCTTTGATAAGGCCACCTTTCTGCACCAAAGACGTCTCAAGAATTCTTTCTTGGCCGTCGCCTTTGAACCCTGACGTCTTTCCGACATCACCACCCTCCCCCAGAGTTCCCTTCACGGCACGATCACAGTCTGGCCCTAGCCCACGTGTTTCTCTGCTGTCCCATTTGTTGCACACACTCGCCCAGCACAGCAGACACACGTCGGTCACCGGGACGGTCTCCAGGGCAGGCAACGCATACAGCAGGCACCTGATAAATGCCCCTGTGCGGAGTTACGGCTGGCGGCTGGGGCCAGCGGGGCGTGCGCCAGGGCCTCACCTTCCGCTGCATCCTCTCCAGCAGCTTGCTTTTGGCCCGCACCTCCTCCTGGATGGAGTCGTAGACGTTGAGCAGCACCCAGTCGCCGCCGTCCTCGTCCGAGTTCTGCAGGGCCGCCACCAGCTGCTTCTTGCGCTCGTCCGCGTACCGCTTCCTGCGTTTGTGCTTCTCCTTCAGGTCCTTGTTCTTGGCCTGCTCTCCCCCTACCACCTGCTGCTCCAGCAGCTGCAAACTGCAGGTGGGGAGAGGAAGGCACGTGTCAGTGGGGCGGGGCCGTCACCAGGTGTTCACTGTCCAGCCGACATCGTGGGGTCCACGCAGCCACTCCTCATGGACACGGGCTCGGGCTCAGAGAGGCGAAGCCTCTGACTGGGGTCAGACCCCGGGGGTTCCAAGAAGAGCCACCCAGTCCTGTGCGCCCAAGAGGACGGGCAAGCATCTCCCTGCGGGCCAGAGCTGACCCAGCCTACCACCTGCCCCGGGCCTCCCAGAGCCGAGGGTCCCCACAGCGCACAGGCTGGCGGCCGTGCTCCCTGGTACCCCGCGGGACCAGAGCAGCCCAGTGTTCATCGTCTCCCTCTGCAGCCCCCCAGCCAGCTTGCTCCAGGTTTCCCCACTGTGCATTCTCCAAACAGCCAGGCTGCTCCCCCATGCCGCGCTTTTGGGGCACCCTGTAACTCGATGCCTTCCTGAGGCTTCTGGCCTTCAAACCCCATTCAGGGTGAGCTAAGCAAAGCTACTCTAAGAAACGGAAAACAAAAGCTTCTGTGAAGGCTTCCCGGACCATACTCCGGACCACACCCAGACCACGGCCAAGGGCGTGGAGAGTTTTTTCCGGGTCTGACGCTTGGCAGGCGTGGTCTCCTTTGACCCTCATGATGAGCTTCTCAAACTGGAGCTCTTATTATCACCCATTTTGTAGATGAGAAGCTAAGGCACAGGGAGGTTTAACGTTGGCTCCGGTGGTAGAGGTAGTGGTGAAGGTGGATGGGAACCCAGACAGTGGACTGCACAACCCACTGGCTTCTCACACTACAGAATCTGGCCCTCCCTGGGCCTGGGTAGCTGGTCCCTCTGGACCATGGGCTCCCTGCAAGCCAATGCGGTAGCTCATTCATCCTGTGTCCTAGTTCCCAGCCCGCAGCCCATGCTTGGTTCACGTTTGAACCGTGGACTATAGGACTGGGTTTGCCACTGCTAAGAGGAGGCTGAACCCTGGCCATGGAGCTGACCATCACGGAGGTGACCCTGATTCTCATTTACAGAAGTGAGAACCAAGGCTCAGAAATGTTAAGTGGCTGGCACAGAGTGAAGACAGCCCAGCGCCCCAGGAGGGTGGCCTCTGAGGGTGATCAGGGTGGCTTGTCCCCAGGGTGAGCCGGTCTCGCAACAGGAGGGCACACTGGGAGCTGAGAAAAGCCTGCATCATTCCACCCTGGGATTCCTGAGAATGCCAGGCAGGCAACAGTCCCTTCCCTTTCTCCTGGAGCACCTGTGCCCCAGCAGGTGCCTGAGGGAGTCTGGTGGCACCTGTAAGGTTCCCCCGGGGCAGAGCACTGCCCGCCCAGCTGATGGCACCATCCCTGCCCCTTGCTCCTAGAGAGAGGAGTGGGGCCTCTCCAGCCTCATCAGGCAGGGGAGTGGAGTGGAGGCTCAGCTCTCCAGGAGCTCCCATCCCCAGGCCTGGCCACAGCACCTCCCTGTCCTGCCACGGGGCCCTACCAGCCCCACGCCCCAGCACTTACCGGGCAAGCACCTGCTGCTGGTCCACGACAGGCAGCAGGTCGTCAGTCAGCACCGCCACCTCCACGCCCACACTGTCCCTTCTCACACTGGTCGTGCCCAGCAAGGGCTGAAGCTGAGCCTCCAAGGCCATCTGGGCCTCAGTCTCAGCCCCGACGCCAGGTTCTGCTGCCGGCACCACCTCCTCGGCCACTTCTGGGCCCAGGTCAACCTCCTGAGCACAAAGAGAAAGCAAGATGGAGGCAGAGAGGCCGACCCCTAGACGCACACTCCCGCGGCCTCAGTCCCAGATGGCAGCAGCAGGGTCCCTCATGGCCCAGGATCGGTTACTTCGGGCTCAGAGCCACCCAGTACCTGGTCAGGTTCCTACCCCACCATTTCCTCCAACACCCGGAAACAGTTTCCTTCCTGCCCTCCTGCCCCTGGGGACCCAGCCTCCCCACGGCAGCTGGGGCAATTTTCTCCAAATACAAATCCATGACAGCCCTTTCCCGGGGAGAACCCTGCACAGATTCTCAGCACCCTGGCAGTAAAATCCAGCTTCTTCCATGGCCTTTGTGCCCTCCGTGCCTCTCTCTGCCTTCCCCCTCCCCCACCGTGTCCACCCAGCTGCTTCTTTGGCCTCGTTTTTCTATTGCTGAGAAAGTCGAGCTCTTCCCGGGCACAGGACTTTGGCACATGCCATCCCCTGGCCTGATGCTCTGCCCTGGCCCCTTCTTCCTGCTTGTGTCCCCTCTCAATGTCACCTTACAGCCAGTGCACCCCAGGCCACCCCATCTCCCATCCACTGAGAACCTCAAGTATGCCAGCTCCTACCCAGTGATCCAGTCCAGAGGCTGGGAGATAATTTTCTCTCTCCACACATGTGGGTAGATTTAAAGCCTTGCTCTCATTCTCCATGTCCTCTTGTGCTTTCTTAAGCAGAAGAGAGAAGGGAGGGCTCTGAGAGCAGCAGTGTTCAACATGGGACCCAGGTGGTTCCCTGCCAGAGCCTCGGGACCCCCGCTTCCGCCCAGCAGCCCTCGCTCTCAGCACACACCAGGGCCTCCTCACTCTAGACAGGCTGCCAAGGCCAAGTGAAGTCTAAGAGTTGCCGAGCAGTGACCTCTTAGTCACAGCAGTAATAAGAGGTAGGCCTGCTTTGTGACGGGCCGGGTCCGATAAGCTGGGGGTGGGCTGGGTTCACAGCCCCTGTCTTGGGGATGAGGACACTGAGGTCCAGAGTGCCACAGGAAGACCCAGGCTCCTGGGACTCCTCCTCTGACCTGAGGGTCTGGACCCGGGGGGGAACTCACAGTCCCGGGCAGGAGGAAGTCAGCTGCCTCAGCTTCAGACCTAACGACACCAGGCCCCAGCAGATCCGTCAGGGAGGGGTGCTGGCAGGAGGATGGGGTTGGGGAGGGAGAGGGACAGTGGGCCAGAATCATCTTCCCCTCCCTGACCTCCCCTTCAGTGCCCCATGCCCCCAGCCCGGCGCCTCACCAAGCCACCACCTCCTGCTGCTTGTCACCGCTGAGGGGACCACTGGGGAGCAGGGGCGAGAAGAGGAGAGAACAGGGAAGAGAGAACGCAGAAGGGAGCGAGCTCGGGGAGCATCAACTGTGGTACCTGAGGTAAAGCACACATCAGCACCCCCATTTTAGAGAAGAGGAAACCGAGGCCCAGAAAGCTGACTGCTCGAGCTCATACAACTCTGTGAGTGGTTGCGCCGGGGTTTAACCCGGGTCTGTCCAGCTCAAAGGCCTGTGCTCTTTACACACACACAGGAAAGGAAAGGAAAGCAAAGGAAAAGGAACACAAGGGAGAGAAGGGGAAGGGAATTTAAACCAGGAGAGTGGAAAGGGGAGAAGCACCCAGCAAAGCGGCAGGATGGCAGGGCAAGCCCCGCCGGACGCGGGGGGTGGAGTCGGGGGGGGGCGGTCCCTGAAAGGTGGCAGCCTTCCCGCAGCCTCCAGCCTCCTCCGGCTCCTTCCTTCGGGGCCTAGAAGCTAGTGTAACCACGACAACTCAGCAAACCCCCCAAGTGGGTGTCCCTCCATTAGCAGAACAGGTGCCCACCCGGCAGAGCCTCCTGTCTCCATCCCTACTTCCCCACCGATGAGCCGAGACAAGGCTTCTGCGGCCGCCAAGCCCAAGCTCCCGCACGGACCGGACCTGACCATCAGCACCTGCCCCAGCGACCTGCGTGCCTACCGCCCCTCACCCCCGCCAAGCTCTGCCTGCTGCCTTTCTGCACATCTCGTGTGATATCAGCTACCTGTGTGGGGAGCCTGGGGGTGGCCGCCTGGGGCACCTCGGCCCCCCCCACCGCGGAGGAGAGCCTGGCCAGCTTGGCTTCCACCTCGGCGAACGGGTCGTGCAGGCTGGGGAGCAGGCCCAGCGCCGCCAGCCGTGGCTGCTCGTCCTCGGGGACCGGCCCGGCCCACCGCGGGGCTCCGGCGGCCTCCCAGCTGAGGTCGTGGTCCAGGAGGGAGCTGCCCACGGCCTCCGCCTCGGGCGCGGAGAACTCCACGTTGGAAGGCTCCTGGGGCGCCGGGCAGGCCTCGGACATGGAGGTGTCCTCGAGCGTGGAAGACTCATCGGATCCCAGAGATGCCTCAGACTTGGAGGTCTCCGCCGTGGGCAGCTCCTTGAACCCCGGAGAAACCTCAGTCTTGGAGACATCCTCGCCGGCCAGAGTGCGCGGCGTGGAGTGGATCTCAGGCTTCGTGGCCAGCTCGCAGTGGAGGGGAGGGGAGGACTCCGGCCAGCTGACAAACTCTGCCCTGGACGTGCCCTGCGCCTTGAGGACCTCCGCCTTGAGGACCTCTGCCTTGAGGACAGCCTCTGCAAATGTAAATTCCTTTCAGCGTCTGACAGAGGACGACGGTGACCCCCTGGGGGCCGGCCCCAAGCACTTAGTCTCTGAAGGGCAGGCTTAAGAGCCAGAGCCTCCCAGACCCCCAAATACTAGCCTCCCATCTCTGCCCTTTCCTCTGTCAGAACTCAGACCCCTCTCCTGCCTCCTCTTCCAGGAAGTCTTCCCTGACCAGCACCAGGAGCTCTCTATTCTCGGACCTCCCCGGCCTTCAGCTGCCTTCGGGCTGCTCTTCACATAGAAGGTGACTGCCCTGTGGGTCTTGTGGCCTCCGAGGCCGAGAGCTCCCGCTCAGCAAGTAGACTTCACACCCGAGACCCGGAGTGGGGACCTCTACAGAGCACCCCTGCTCAGGGCTCTCGTCCACAGGAAATGCTAGCTCCATGGGAGATGAAGGAACACTACGAATGATCATTAGACCAAATAAAACCACCTGGAGGCCTAACATTCAAACTGGACTAGAGGAACACTCTGAAGGACAGAACATGCTAGAACCTGCCCTTCCCTCTCCTCTGGATCTGCCAGCGTGGACGAGACTACAGTCCCACAGGCCTCCTCAGGGCTCCCAGCTCATGGGCACTACAACCACTCACTTCTTTGTCTCTGTGTCATGGGCTGGAGACACATTCCCTTTGCTGAAAGAGGACATCCTCTCCCTAGTTCAGCAGCCAGAAGCTCTCCAAGCCTCAGTGTGCACCTTGGCAATGTGAGGACTCAGCGTGTCCTCACTCACTGAGGGAGTACCCAGCACCCAGCACCGCCCACGCAGCAATGCCCAATAAATGGTACCCACGATGTGACCAATACCGTCGTCATGACAAGGGGGGTTTTATAGTATTTGGGTGAGTACTAGGAAGTCTGAGCTGCCTGGCAGCACAGGTGTTTGGAGGATAGTGGTAGAGTAGAACATTCTAGAATGTCAAAAAGACAACAAAAATCTTCAGCAAGGAAGAACTTCTTGCTAGTAATTGAATCCTTATTTTGGAATGTGGTTGCTTTGTTCACAGAGCGGCTCAAAAATGAGAGGAGACCAGAAAATGCAGAAGCAGGAGGAGGGAACTTACCCATGAAATATGGGTGATACGTTGTAATGCTAAGTCAGCCTTGGGCCCCAGCCTGGGGCCAAGGCTTCACAGATGCAATGCTGGGTGGGTGAGAACACTGCCTGGGTTCCAATCCTGACTCACTTCACCAGCTGTGTGACCATGGACAAATCACTCACCCTCTCTGTGCCTCAGTTTCCTTACCTATAAAATGAGCCTCATGGCGGTACCTACCTGGCTAGGCTGTCGTAAGGAGTAACTAGAACTGAGCCTGGTGCATAGGAAGTGCTCTATGAATGTCAGTTAGTAAAATGGGGAGGGGGAACCAGCTGGCCACCCTCCTGACAGCCCGGGTCGGGTGCCCACCTGTCTCCTTACGCAGGTTCTCCTCCAGTGTGGACAGCTTCACATCGTAGGAGTTGCGCATGGCAGTGATGTCCTCCTCCAGCCGGGCCCTGGACTCCTGCTCCGCCTCATAGTCAGCCCTCAGCCGGGCCAGGCGCTCCTCATACTCCTGGGAGCGGGAATGGGGGTGGGAGAGAGAAGACACAGTGTGGGGGGCGGGGAGGTCCAGGCAGCATCAGACCACAGTTCGCCTTCTCTGTCATTCAAATAACCCAGGAAATAGCAATAAGCCAAAAGACCTAAGTTAAAATTACCTACACAACACGGGACGAAATTGGCTGCTGTGGGCCCTTCTGAAGTTTATCCGCATTTTTTAAAAGATTTGATTTATTCATTTTATTTTTTTTTTATTAAAGATTTTATTTATTTGACAGAGAGACACACACAGCGAGAGAGGGAACACAAGCAGGGGGAGTGGGAGAGGGAGAAGCAGGCTTCCTGCTGAGCAGGCAGCCCAACATGGGGCTCGATCCCAGGACCCTGGGATCATGACCTGAGCTGAAGGCAGACGCTTAATGACTGAGTCACCCGGGCGCCCCTTTATTTATTCATTTTAGGGAGGGAGAGAGAGAGAGAGAGAGAGAGAGGAGGAGGAGAGGGGAGAGGGAGAGGGAGATCATTTCCAGCAGACTCCCCGCTGAGCACAGAGCCCTACATGAGACTCGATCTCGTGACTCTGAGATCATGACCAGAGCTGAAATCAGGAGTCGGACACCCAACCAACTGAGCCACCCAGGCGCTCCTAGACTGTGCTTCAGTGGCTTCCTACATTACTGGGCAAAATCTAAGCCTCTCGACTTGACCGAGTCCCCAGAGATCTGGACAGCCCACCCCATGACATATACCCCACACTGGGCACATGGGCCACTTTCCACTCTTCGACAGGCCCATGTTCCCCTGCCTCAGAGTCTTCTGCCCTCATCCCCCAGCAATCTCTTCCTTCAGGCCTCAGCTCAATAACACCCCCTCCAAGCAGCCCTCCCTGACCACCCTCTCAGACAGCACCGTCCCCTCCTGCAGCCTCAGCACCTAGCACAGAGGAGGGAGGGGCTCTGGGCAAACTCCTGAGTCCATGAGTGCCTGGAGCCCACCGCTGGCCTGGCCAGAAGGATAACCGGACCGCTCTGGCTTCCAAGCACACCTCCCATGGGCAGGGCCGGGGTTCAGGCTGATGAGAGTACGTGACCTCCCGTGTTGTCGAGCTGCCCCTGAGAAAGCCAGACGGACAGGCCGGGGGAGGGGAGGGACAGCCCCTGTGCACACACCCACCTCACCAGGACCCTTCCAGGACAGAACCCAGAGTTCTACGACGGCACAGACTCTATGACCCGGGCTCTCGGGGAGGGACAGAGGATCATTAATATGTGACTGAGCATTCTGTGGCACACCTGAGATGCATCTGAGTCCCAGGGCCATACGTAGGGCTGCTGGGGCCCAGGGAGGTGACTTGCCCAGAACCACACAGCTCTCCAGTGGCCACAGGAGACCTCCTATACCCCATCTGCTTTCTCACTGCCCCTCCGCCCCCTGCCCTGGCTTCCTCTCCTCCCCAGCAGGGACTTGGGCCCTACCCTACACTCATCCTTCAGCAAGCTCTACCCAGCCCCCTCCACAGTTCCCTCCCTGCACGGCCCTGACCCCAGTGTCACCCTGGCTCAGCCTTGTCACACCTACACAACCAGCAAGACCTGGCTGGAGATGCAGGTGCGTGCATGTACACACTCACGTGCACAGTGTGCACACACACACGCACACACACACATACAGCAGTACCAACTTCCAGTCCCAGTGGTACATGTGTGACCCTGAACCACAGAGGGCCTCTTACGCTGCCATGCGCCCCTCCTGTGTCCTTCTGCTCTCCCTCCCTCTGCAACCCTCCACCTCTCCATTTCCCATCTCCTGCTTCCCAGAGAACACTGAAGCATGCCCTCGTCATCCCAGCCCACACCTTCCCGTCTACCTGCAGATCCACCCGAAAGCTCTTTGTCCTGCGACAGTAGACAAACCATGTGAAGCCAAGCCACCCGCTTAGTGACTGTGCTCTTTCCATCCCTGTCTCCCTCCCGCAGCGCAGACTTCTTTCAAGATCACCCCCAGCAGTTACAGAATGTGCTCTGATACTCGACACAGAACAACTCTCCCATGGCCCCTCGTGGACCCCCAGCTACAGGGTCCAGTGCCAGCAGGGGCTTGGAAAATGCCTGCCAACCCAGCCCCCCGAGTCCTGCTTGGTGCTAGTTCCACGGTCCCATGATGAGAAGATGCCCAAACAGTCCCCGAGAGCTTAAACAGCCTGTCCTGGGGCACGGAGCCCACCAAGAACTGGGCTTGCAGATTGGAAAAGCTGGATGGACCCAGGAATCTTCTGGTCCAAATCTCCCCTTCCCTGGTGCAGCTGGGAGACTGAAGCCCATGGAGTCACATCTCCCACTCGTGGCAGAGCCCACCTGGCCCCGTACCCTCGCCGCCCCACACAGGGGCCACCCCCTCACCCTGAGAGTCCTGACTGGTTCCAGGTGGGAAAGGAAAGCACGGTTCCAGGCACATAGTAGGTGCTCAATAAATATGAGGGGATCATACGTGAAATGGGAAGGAAGGCGAGAGGGAAGACAGACACCTTTGACTCTTCCTCCAAGTGTGGCTCACAGAAGAAACAGCAGGGCCTGAGAGGACACTTGGTGGTGGCCACGGGCAGGGGTGGGGGGGAGATGCTCGGATGCAGCAGCCACGGGGCTATTCCGGGAAGACAAGGCCAGCGACCGCCATCCCCGGCGGAAGGACCTGCCAGTCACTGGCTCCCTGAAGCCGCCAGCCCAGAGCAGAGTCTCCTCTCTGGTGACGCAGGGGGGATGGCGGCGCCCTGCTCCTCGGCCAGGGTACCTGTCCCACCCAACCAGGCTCCCTCAGGGGGAACAGCTGTCATGGGTAGCCTTTAGGGACTCTGGCCAATTTCTCCCAGCCCTTCAGCCCACAGGACTCAGACTCCCAAGACTTACCTAGTCTGCCCCTCAGAAGCTGGGCCCCAGAACCCCACAGCCTCACCAGAGCTCCCAGGGGCCCCAGGGCTTATCACTGAGTTTATAATTGAGGGGCAGAGGCCCAGCTGCGGACACATCCAGGGACGCAGTCCCTGCAGAGCTGTCCTAGTCTGGCATCCTTCTCTGCCAGGAAAATGCCAGTGTCCCACTCCATGCTCAGGTCTCTGAATGGGGCCCTCAAATGGCAGGGATTTCCAGAAACCAGCAGGGCCTGGAGTCAGGACGGAGCCTAAGCCGGGAGTTAGGGGCTCTGCTGAGTCTGGGTGTGTAAGCCCCCCACTAGGGATCAGCTCGGTATCTGTAAACCAGGGCACTGTTACCTGGCCTGCTGGTTCCCAGAAATACTGGAAGGCACACATGGGGAGAATGAGGGGCCCCCAGGAGACAGCTTTTTCTGGGAGGCCAACACCCCATTTACCCACTGGTCAAATGAGTGCTGGGCCTCCCCACTGTCCAGCCAGGGCACCCGGCTCTCAGCCTCTGACTTGTGGGCACCTGACGAGGTGACCAATTCCTTTCGCTCCGTCCCCTCTGCCCAGCTTAAGCTGTTCCCACCACCAGGAAGGCCTCCATTTCCAGCAACCCACAGCCACCCCCCTTCCTACAGTATGGAAGAGACAGCACCCCTGCAGACACCCCACAGCTCTCCCTGTGCTCCCCATGTTAGGCCCTGATGAGGGATGGATTGCATTCTGGAGTCAGGACCTGAGTTCAAATCCCACTCAGACTCTCCTTAGCTGGGTGACCTTGGGCGAGTCACGGCACCTAGCTCCAAAAGGGAGACTGAGGTACCAAGCCCACGATTCTGTTGGGGGTAAAATGATATCATTCGGCAGATGCTCTCCTGCTGGGCCTCACCTGCCTGCCTTTCTCCCACCTACCCCCGGGTCTCACCTCCCGGATCAGCTGCTTCTCGGCCTCTGTATCAGGCTGGATCACCGGTGGGGGCGCCAGCTTCTCCTCAGTCTGGACAGCATTTAGGGGGGTCTGACTGGACAGCAGGTCTGGGAGAGAGACAGAAGGGAGGGCTGTGACCAAGCTGCACAGAGTCTGTGAGAACCAAGCCAAAATCTGGAAAGAGACAACCACAGACTTAAGCAAAACACACTTCACAGCATTGAGTTTCTTCCAAGCCCATCTCTATGTAAAATACTAATTTACTCAGTCATTCAACGAATATTTCTTGAGCACCTGCATGTTCTAGGCACTGGCGACCCAGCATTAAACAAAACAGACAACACTCCACACCCACACGGAGTTTTCAAACAGAGGAAGAAGGTACACACAGTAAATAAGCAAAATGCTAACATGTTATAAGCGGATGTGTTCTAGCAAGAGAGAGAAAGCGGGGAGGGTGCTCAGGAGTAAGAACAAAGGGGGGGGCAATTTAAACAGTGTGTTCTGGGAGGACATCTTAGATAAGGTAAGGCAAAGGCAGTGACCTGAAGGAGGTGGGAGAGAGAAGCAGGCAGAGATCTTAGGGAAGAGCTTTCCAGACAGAAGAGAGCAGTGAGTGCAAAGGTCCTGTGGCAGGAGTGGGCCTGGACTATTCCAGGAACAGCCAGGGAGCCAGTGTGGCTGGAACAGAGTAAGAGAGGGAGAGAACAGGTGACGAGGAGCTCAGAGAGGGCGTGGGGGATCACAGGGACACTGAAAGCTGTGCTGATGACTTTGGGTTTGACTCGGTTAAATAGGCCAAGGAGGGGGGTTGTGCAGGGCAGTAAAAGGACGTGCATTTGGACAGGACCTCCCTGGCTGCTGTGTGGGGAATGGACTGAGGGGGATAAGGACAGACTCCTGGATACCTGTCGGGGTGGTGCCCCCTAGTAATTCAGGTAGGAGATGCTAGCGACTCAGGGGACAGCGGTGGACAGATTCTGGACATCTCTTAAAGGTAGAGACAAGATCTGCTGCTGGATTGGATACAGGTTTGTGCGAAAACGAGAAGCCAAGGGCCACTCCAGGGTTTCAGGCGTGAATACTCAGAAGGAAAAGGGTTGCCAACACCTGCACAGGGACCGGCAGGCTTGGGGGGATTAAGAGCTCAGTGTCAGACATGCTAAGTTCCAAATGATCCCTCAACAGCTGGATGTTCAAGTCTGGAATTCAGAGTACACTGCGTCGCAACTGTTTTTTAAATTGTCTCTATTTTGTGATGTTTGATATAGCAGGGGACTTGCCGGCCAGGGAAAGACCGCCCCTGGCCAGGCCGGCTAATTCCTAGAGAAAGCAAACGAACTATTAGCCCACCTTTCACCTGCCAACCAAGCAATGTCGAGTCCGCACCCCTCCCGCCCCTCCATCTGACTCGCACTCCCAGCCAGGATCTCCCCTGCCCTAAATCCCTGGGGGCCGGGACTGCCTCTGTGCCGCCACCCACAGGAATCCTTCAATCCAGCCCTTCCTGGGCTCTTGCTCCTGCCCAGACTTTCCCATAGAAACTCCAGTCATGGCTCCAAATCTAGCTCTGGCTCCGGAGACCCCTTGCTCCTCCCTGTCTCCTGACCGATGCTGGAGCTCCCCCCCGGGTTCCCCCCCAGGACATGTGGCCCCATGTGCTGTCCCATCCTCGTTTCTAGTGTAACGGTGACCTCTCCAAGGGCCCCCTCGGGCCCCTTTATGAATGAAGACCTAGACACAAACCACACGGCCAGGCTGGGGGGGCCACACGGGAGCCAGAGCCCAGAGATGGTGTTTAAAGCCACAAGGTGAGGCCACCTCGGAGGGAGTGTAGAAAGAGGGGAGGTCCTGCGGGGAAAGAGCAGGAAGGCAGACTGCCGGTGAGATCTCACCTCGGCGCTCAAGGCCCTCTTCAGCCCAGCACGTCCAGCCCTCACTGGCCATCTCCCAGAGCCCGGCTCGGCAGGCTGCCAGCACGACTGTTTGTTCCCCAAATGTCCCTTACAGTTTTGTGCATCTTTGCACAGTCTGGCCACTCTCATCCTGGCTAACAGGGAGACCTCTCTGCCTCCAAGACTCTGCTAAATCACCTCCTCCTCTGTGAAGCCTTCCCTGCCTGACCACACCCTACCCCCAAACAGACTTGGTCACTTACCCGCTTCTGCCCTCTAGTGGCCAGTTCGGCTCTCTGACCTATGTGTACTGTCTGCTGGAGGGTCCTTCTCCCCCAGACTAGATGCCCACGAGGCAGAGCCTGGATCAGATTCATCTCTGGGCTGTCAGTGCCCAGCACAGATCCACACACGGGGGCTGCTCAGTGAGCTTTGGGTGTGTGGATGGGCGGGTAGGTGGATGGTTCGGAGGATGGGTGGATGGATGGATGGATGGATGGATGGATGGATGGATGGATGGATGGGTAGACAGGTGATAGATGAATGGGTATGTAGAATGGACGGACAGAGAGGAAGCTGGGTAGGGAGGTAGATGAGTGAATAGATAGACTCAGGCTCTTTTGTGCTCCCTTCCCCGGGGAATTCTCGGGTAAAGAAAACCCCAGAATGTGCAAGGACCCCAGAGAGCCTGAGCTGCACATAGAGATCTCTCCTTGCCGGATGACAGCCAAACACCTGGGTGTGAGAGCTGCAATCACAAGGTGCCTAACTGGGGGTGGGACACGGGAGAGTGAGTCACCCGCTGCTCAGCAGCACAGTGTCACGATGCTGCCACAGAGACAGCAGGCACACAGGTGGGATGGTGGCTGCGCAGCCAGGAGGCGGCCAGCCCAGCGGCTGACGGAACAGACCACAGAGACCCCGTCCCGAGTGCCCGGGGGAGCAGAGCGCCTCCGACCATCACCGAGCCGGCTCTCGCTGACTGTTCATGCTCACAGGACGCGGAAAGGAGACGGGACTTTGCTTCTGAGTCTCTCGGATGGGCAGCCAGAGGCAGAAGACTAAACAGGGGCAGTGGGGGAAGACTCTGTCCCCAGCCCTGGGCCTTCCTGCCCCCTCCTCCCCCAGCCACCCACCTGCCAGGTTGCCGGGGCTCATCTGCTGGGCCAGGATCTCCTTCAGCTTCTTGATCTCCTCCTGGTACTCGCGCAGGAGGGCGTCCTTGGGGTCCTCGTTGATGCGTGGCTTGTTCTTGATGTTCTTGGCCCGGCTGGCGTAGCGCAGGGTGCTGAGTGTCTCGTCATAGTTGTTGTCCGCGGGTGACAGGCAGGCCACCATCAGCGTCTTCGTGTTGCCGCCCAGCGAGTCCTGCAGCAGCCGCGTCAGCTTCGAGTCCCGGTAGGGGATGTGTTTACAGCGCCCGTCCACCAGGGCCGAGATGACGTTGCCCAGGGCCGACAGTGACAGGTTGATCTTGGTGGCCTCCTTGAGCCGCTCCCCCGTGGCACCCGTCTTGGACTGCCGCTCGCTGCCCGCCAGGTCCACCAGGTTCAGCTTGCCAGCACGGAGGTGGTCCTGGCCCCGCTCGTCTGTGGACAGACCAGGCGGAAGGTGAGGGGAACACAGTGCTCCCACCACCAGCCACATAGGAGTCCATGAGAGAGGCACTGTCACCATCCCCATCTTACAGAAGAGGAAACTGAGGCTCAGAAAGGCATCTAACTGGCCCAAGGTCACACCCCCGCTAAGTGGCAGACCCAAGGTCAGAACACAGGGCTGCTTGACCCGGGGAGCAGAAGCTAGAAGGTCCAGACTATTCTCTGAGCGTGGTGGGGATTTTTTTCAGTGATCACAATGGCTCCCCCAGATTCCCTGTGAGGCCAAGAGTGGGAGGATGTGACTGGGTCACCCAGGGCCTTGTATCCTTCACTGCAAAAGACATTGACTTTGGAGGCTCTTGGATCTGGTTCCCGACCCAGCCCCGCCTCCTCCTTGCTGTGTGACCTTAGCAAAGCCCTACACCTCTCTGGTCCTCCATTCTCACAGCCACAAAATGAGATTAACAGCAGCTCCCCACTTGGGCTGGTTGTTGGGAGGAGTAAAGTAAATGGAGGGCACATTTTACAGAGTTGACTCAGGGCCCAGCACACAGCAGGGTCTCGTACCCCTGAGAACAAGCCTGGATCTGTGGTGACCAAGGTCCTGTGGACAAGGCAGACCCCGGTGGTGAGGGTGACAGGAGTCGGGCCCTGGCTGGCAACATGGGCTCAGAGCACAGGTTTTGAAGGCGCAGATCTTGGGCATCCAATTCTGATTCTATATCTTAGTTGCTATGAAACTTGGGGAAAATAGACCAGAACGAACATGGGGCACCTGAGTGGCTCAGTGGGTTGAGCCTCTGCCTTCCGCTCTGGTCATGATCCCAGGGTCCTGGGATCAAGCCCCAAGTCGGGCTCTCTGCTCAGCAGGGAGCCTTCTTCCTCCTCTCTCTCTCTCTCTCTCTCTGCCTGCCTCTCTGCCTATTGTGATCTCTGTCTGTCAAATGGATAAATAAAAATCTTAAAAAAAAAAAAAAAAAAAGATGTTCATGGTAGCATTGTTTACAACACTCCCGAACGGGAAACAACCTCACTGCCCTCTAAAGGTTGGATAGAAAATCGCATGAGAGACGTGCCCTCCTTCAGCTGGCACCCAGGGTCTCAAAGACCAGGCAGGAACGATGCTCGGGGCTGGCGTGGGGAATGGGACGCAAGGGAGAAACTAAATACAGCGTCAGAGTTCGATTGTTTTTGTAAATTTCACAGGATAATAGGGACCAAAAAGCCCCAATACACTCAAATGCTAATAGGTGTGTTTATGAGTAATTTTACCTACCTTTCTCTAATTCCTAAATAGCATTATTGAGCTTATTTTATAATGAGAATGATAAACATCTTTTTAAATTTATCTATAGGGCGCCTGGGTGGCTCGTTTGGTTAAGTGCCCAATTCTTGACTTTGGATCAGATCGTGATCTTGGGGTCATGAGATGAAGTCCTGCTTGACGTTCTCCCTCTCCTTCTGCCCCCTCCCTGCTCACACACACACTCACTAAAAAAAATTTAAAAAATAGAAAAATAAATTTGTTTAAAAGCCTGTCTCCAGGCAGCCTCCTCCATCCTTCAAACCCTTCTGCAAAGACCAAGGTGCACCCCCAAAGGCACCCTGTCCAGATCCTTCCTCACCTGCCCTAGGCCCTGCCCCCCAAGCACAGCCTCATGGCAGGATACCGTGACCTCACTGACCCTGCCCAACCCATATCAGCACCCTGGGGAGACAGACCCAGCAAGCACCAGGCAGCTGGTCTGGGGCCAGGTCACCCCACATGCTGGGGGATGTCAGGGGAGGTACCCCAGCTTTGACCTTGGATCTGGGATCTCTCCAGAATTATGTTTCTGGTTGGGCGGAGGCTGCTTCCTACGGCAGTGCTCGAGAGAGTTCTATCCATGATGGACTTGGAGGCAGCTGCCGTGTTATTGGGAAAAGCCCAGATGTCAGAGAGAATCAGGTTCGAATCCCAGCTCCCCCACTTATCAGTGGGACCCCACACAAGCAAGCCACTGCACCTCTCAGAGCCTCAGTTTTCCAGTCAGTAAAATGGCAATGAGAACGCCTGCCTCTAGGACTCCTGTGGGCTGTAAACGGAAGGAAGCCTGGGAAGTACTTAGCACAGCTGCTACCAGCGGCAAGAAATAAATACGAGTTTCTTCCCTTCCTCAGGGACTCTCCTAGACAGGCGGACGCGGGGGATGACTGAAGGGTGGGGAGCACCGCAGAGAAAGAGGAGACACCGAAAGGTCCAGGCAGGACACGCTGGAGACAGAGCCTGGGATCAAGGCCCAGCTCTGACGCTTTCTAGTTGCGGGACCTCAGTTTCCTCATTTGTGAAATGGGGGCGACGCTGATAGCCACCTCCTGGGCTGTGGTAAGGAATAAACAAGCTAACTCACAGAAACTGCGTGGCACATAGTAGGTGCTCAGGGTGAGCGGCCAGTGGCAGTACTGTTGATGCTGCTGCTTACCCGGGAAACCTGTGCTCTACCTAGCACAGGAGGGTCCTCCTGGGCGGCCTCCAGGCCGTTCGAGCACCTTCGCCCAGTTTCGGATGGGGCCCCCGAGGCCCCGGGAGGTGAAAGGTCTCCGCCCGGCTCTGGCTCCGGATCCCCTGCCCCCAGTAGCCCCCGCACGTACCCACGGCGTAGATCTCGATGCTGATGGTGAAGATGGAGTGGGAGCGTGAGGAGTCCTTGTTCATCAGCGTGTAGCCCACTGAGCGGTTCTTCCAGCCCGTCTCCATGATGCGCTCACACTGGGCCACGCTGTGCACCGTGTGCATGGAGAGCCCCTTCACGTACACGCCCCTCTCCGGGTGCTCCTTCAGCTATGGGTGGGAGGGACGGGTCAGAGCCTTGTGGGACCAGGGATCCCCAAGGGACCCAGGGAAGGGCCCAGTTCGGGCCGCCTCTGCCCTCCTGCAGCGCAGGGAGACACCTTATGGTCCCTCCAACAGGCAGGGGCTTTGCTCCAGGTGGAACCAGCCTCAAACCCATCCCACTTCTTCCTTCCTTGTTGTGGGACCTTGAGCCAGTAACTCAACTTCTCCGGGCCTCGGTTTCCATATCTGTAAAATGGGTATGAGATACCCATCTCTTAGGGACGGGATGGGAATTCAGTTAAATAAGGCCCGTCCAGGCTTGGCACAGGTCCTGGCACGTGGCAAGTGCCCGGTAACACCAGGCGATGTCCACGTTGTTGGTGGTGGCGGGATTATTATGAAGGGCCATTCTAGCCCGGGCGCTCAGCTGCCAGGGGCTGACCCTGTAGTCCCCCGAGGGCTCGGAAAGCTGCTCTTTCGCCCTTTCGATAGGGCTCCTGATCGCCTCTCTGCTGTGGCTCCTGGGAAACAGGAACGTTCCCAGGCCTTTGGATCGTGGCCGGCAAAGGGCCATTTGTTGCCCAGAACTCCCACTGGCGCCATCTCAAACCGGCCTCCAGCCCTCAGTGGGATGGCAGCAAGCAAATTAATTTATCTGACTGCTCCCTGCTTCCTCTCCAGGCAGCCAAGTTGTTTTGTTGCTGACACAGAGCTGTGAAATGCAATATTTTTCAAGTGTGAGGAAATAAAACCACCCCGGTGAGAGCAGAATGAATTAGGACAAGTCATGTCCCTGCTGGTCTGAGCCACAGAGGCTCAGGGGCTTTGCTCCCGGCGGCTCTGGGGTCCCACGTGGGGCTGGGCCCTCACTGCGTGGGGTCAGGGGGTGGGCACCCAGGCTTGCCCTATCTGCTCAAGTGTGGAGAAACACCCAGACCAAGACTGAAGGACTGGAAAACCATCGGAGGCACAGACTAGGAAGGGATTTGCTGAAGGTCACAGAGCTATTAGTAACAGAGAATCAAATGGGATCCCCCGCTATGGCAGGCTCCACAGGCCGGGGATGGAGAAGACGGAGCATCCGGCAATAACTGAAGTCTGAAATGACCAAGGGCTGACCTTGACCTAGGACGTAGGGGTGAGGACAGAGCACCAAGGACGGAGGGAAGCAGGAGACCCTGCCAACAGAGGGTGGTTGAAGCTGACCTGAAAAGCGCTGGCAGTGCCCTCTGGCTCCCATCACCTGCCTGCCTGCCCACCCAGCCCCAGGACCTGGAAGCCGCATGCACACAGTGGGCCCTGGGGGTGAGCAGTTGCTCCGGGCCTCAGTCTCGGGGAGCAGCAGGCTCCTGGTATCCTAGGTCAGAGGCCTGGCCTTGCCACTTGCTGGCCGGAAAAGTCAATTTGCCTCTCTCCGCCCCGGTTCCCTCTTCTGTCTGATGATGATAAATGCTGCTTCTGCAAGACCACTAGGACGACTGAGAAGAGGATGGAGCTAAAAGCCAGTCTTGTGGGTACGTGGAGGGGCGCCACCAGCCTAGGGCATGGGGGGTAGGGGGCACCCCTCAGGAGCAGGGAATGTGGGCGGGGAGGCAAGCCCTCCCGCAGCAACGCCACTGCCCTACTTTTAGGCCCTGGAAGGCTTGCTCCCCAACCTTACGATCCCCCACAATCCTGCCCCACTCGGTCCCAGCCCTGCTGTCCCAGGGAGGCCCTGAGTGCCCGAGTAAATACTCCCTCCGACCCAGCCCAGAGCCTGGGCACCATGGCAACAGCTGGGATGCAGCTGGCAAGGGGCAGGTGCCCCAGGAAGAAGGGGCTCCTGACACTGCCCCCCAGTACAGTGAGAGGCCCCCAAGGGCTTTACCTCTACCGCCCAGGGTGGCCTGGTTCCCTGAGGCTGGTTGGTAGTGGTGTCCGGGCCCAACTACTCACCTCTAATTACCAAAACCATCAGGCCCTGTGGGAAGCACGGGTTCCGAGCCCGTGCTGCGGGGCCGGCCACCTGGACTCAAACCCAGCCTCCCCCTTTCCTGACTGTGTGCTCGGGGGCTGGCCTCGCCCAGGCGCATTGAGCCTCCGTTTCCTCCTCTGGCATAAAGGGTCAGAGCAGCACCCCCTCCTAAGGCTGTCCTGAGGTTCCCAGGAGCACCCATCTGCACCTTCTCCAGGAGGCAGTGGGTCAAATCCCCCACACCCGGTGCCCCGGCGGGGAGTGTCTCGGGGTGCCTCTGTCACTGGCACCCCCAGCCCCCCACCCCAGCAGGCTGACTCACCAAGCCTAAGACCTGGGGCCCAGATGGGGCAGGGGCACAGCTGCCAGCCCTCAGGGCCTGCATCACTGAGGCCCTTCTAGGGTCCTGGGTGTGGAAGCAGGGGAGGTGGGCCCCCTGCTGCCCCAGTGTGGGTTGGCAGGGGGCCCTGATCCCCCAAGCTGGCCTTTCTTGGGACTGACACGTGGAAGCAACGTCCTGTGCCTTCCTCCTCCCCCACATCTCCCTGCCTCGGGGCTGAGCTGTGACTCAGCTGCTCCAACTCCTCGATAGAGAAAACAGTAGAAAGACTGCAGGTGGGCGGCTGGAGGTCCCAGCCCAGAAAGGGCAGAGCGCTGCTGCATTTGTCGGGAGCTGAGGCTGGGGGGCCCGGCCACCTGTCAAAAGATGGGGCCTGGGAGGGAGGGAGGTCACACCCATGTGGACCTGCTATAGCACGCGGCCGGGCACCTAGCACCGGAGGTCTTCCCAGGCTTCGCTGTATGAACGGTTCACCGGCCGGATGTGCTTCCCTTGGCTGGAACCCCATTACTGGCTTCTTAGTGCCCCGGGGGGTTCTCTGTGTTGCTGACCCCAAAGCATTCTGGCAGGGAAGCCCCTGACCACTCAGATCCCACAGGGTCTGCTACCAACACCATTACTAGCAATTAGCTGTGTGGCCTTGGCCACGTCCCTTCCCTTCCCTGGGACTCAGTTTCTCCATCTGTACTAGGAAACGGCAGACTAGAAGCTCTCTAAGGGTCTTCCCAGCTCAAATTCTTAGGGATTTTTCCTCAGTATGGCCAAAACAAACACATTTTTCAAGACAGCTGCTGCCTGGGGTCTGATCTGTTCACTTGGATCAAAGCGTGGTCTCAGGTCAGAGAGGAACTCGCAGACATCCCAGCGGGGGTGCCCAGGGGACAAGTAGGAGGCTCAAGCAGAGTAGGGACATAGCCCTGCCCCCTCCACGTGGGTAGGGATCGGGGGAACCAGGTGCTTCCAACACCCTGTCCAGTCTGGGGGTCACCGGGGGTCAGGAGGACAGGGAGGCATCAGCAGCAGCCCCGTCACCTGGTTCTGTCAAGGCATGGGCCCTGGGGAGACTTAAGCAGCTCGTCACAGAAAATGTCCAACCCTGGGGTTGCCAGGGTGGCTCAGTCCGTTGACAGTTAAGCATCTGACTCTTGGTTTCAGCTCAGGTCACAATCCCAGGATCTCAGGGTCCTGAGATCAAGCCCCGCGCTGGGCTCCGTGCTCAGCGCAGAGTCTGCCTGGGACTCTTTCCCTCTCCTCCCCCTCCGCCCCTCCCTACTTGCTCGCTCTCTGACTCTCATTCTCATTAATTAATTAATTAATTAATTTTTTTAAAAAGGAAGAAAATGTCCAACCCTGACTCTGGCTTCCTAGCCTCAGGCAAGTCACCTTCTCTTTCTCAAACCCTTTCATCCATAAAATGGGAATCTCCATGGCAACCTCCTGGGGTGATGTGCCCCCAGCTCGGGCATTCTGACTCTGCAGGAGGTGGGCCTCTTGGGAAGTCCCCTGGTTGCTTGGTCAGATAAGAAGTGTGGGAGTCAGGGGTACCCCCCTGCATTCTGGCCACAGGACTGACTCAGCCTCCCCTCCACCCCCGCCCCCTGCGCTGGCCTCTCCCCCTAGGACCCGACCCGGCCACCCCAGCATTTAAAGAGTCCCAGAGAGGACGCATAATCCAGGCCTCCCACTCAGGCCAAGACCTGGGTCCAGCCTTGCCACCAACTGGCTGTCGGGCCCTAGCAAGTCACTTGACCTCGCTGGGCTCCCCAAAGGGTCAGCCAAATTCTGCCTATCATGTGTGATCCCCTCAGAGCCACATGTTGAAGGCCTTCTGTGCGCTGGGCTCTGCGAAGGGCTCGTGCTCGCCTCCCTCTTTGGTGCTCATTTTGTAAGGGTCATGTCACCGGTCCTGGGGTGCCCCATACCAGACACCTTGCAAAGGGGAACAAAGTCCCAGAATCTGAGGCCACAAACAACCATGAAATGGGATGTTTGGGGTCACGACCTTGAAGTCAGACAGACCTAGGTTCAAGTCCAGTTGTGGCCACACACATAGGCAAGTGGGTTTATCTAAGCGTCCCTTCCCACACGGGTAGACTGGGGATAGCAGCTACCCAACGGGATCACTGTGACTAGTGACAGGGTCATGTGCCTAGAGCAGCAGCAAAGAGAACTCAATAAATGATAATCGTTATCACCTTCCTTCTAGCTTTTGGGGCCCTTCGAGATTTTTAAGTAACTTTTTTAGAAGTGGAACCTATTTTTCAAATGAAATCTATCACAAAACTCCATCTACTTCACCAGATATAGGTGGCCTGACCCCAGGTAAGGTCCAGTCCTCTACTGTGTGGTCAGGGGTATGCCTGTGAGCGCCCCCCCTGTACCAGGGACTCTGAGAATCCTCCAAAATTCAAGTTCAAAAGTCCCCACTCTCATCTGAACCAGCGCCTGTGGCCCCAGGATACCTTCCCCGTGCTTCTGAAGGAGCACTGATGCCAGCCTCTCCCCTCCCTCGGCCCCTCCCTGCCCTGGGCCATGTTCACACCCACCTCCAGCTTCTGCTTGGTGTCTGTCCCCAGCAGGTCACGGACATCTTCGTTGTAGATCTCTAGGTAGGAGGCCCGGACCAGGAACTTGGTATTCTCTGCACACTGCCAGGTGTGGACAGGGACAGCCAAGACACCTGAGTGCCTACTGCCAACACTGACCCAGCCCCCTACACCCTCTCCAGCCAGGACCTAATAAAAGGACATCACGGCCAGAGAGGCACGACGTCAACAGGAGGGGAGTCCCCAAGCCCTCCTGGCCCTGCCTGCCTGCCTGGCCAGCTGCCTGTCGCTCCACTCCAGCCCCGTGGGCCCCTGGGCTCCTCTGACTTGCTTAATTCTCATACTACTACTGTCACATGCTCTCTCCACTGCCTCATAGGAAAGGAAATGGGAGAGGCCTCCCCATTATTCAGGTAGAGAAACTGAGGCCAAGGTAAGGGCCAAGCACTGGCTTTGGTCTGATCCTTCCTTATTGCTAAGGTTCCCGGGGGCGGAGGGAGGGCACAAAATGAGTCCTGGGAGCAGGTACGGTAGGCTCTACGGCTGACCGGGGTCGCAGGCCCCACTCTGCCATCTCTCCGAAGCAAGGATTTCTGCTCATGGCCAGGACTGGCCCCCAAGGCAGTCCTCACCTGCAGCCCAGACACTGGGATCCCCAGTCTTGCCCTGCATAGAAGGGGGGTTAAGTCTGGGCTTCCCTATGTCGAAAATGGGGACAATGGAGATCTCCTGGGCAAGGGTGGGGGTTTGGTGAGATCATGACGCTAAGGGCTTCCCACTAGGCTTGGTCAGTAGTAACTGCTTCATTAATTGTCACAACCCCTTCTTGGGCCGGTGCTCTGGGTCATCAGGTCCACGTGGGACAGCAAGTAAAACGTTAAAGTCCAAAAATGGCAGGATGAAAAACACGGAACTGGGAAGCAGAATTTTCTCAATGTGAAGTTCTTCTCCCATCCCCCTTTCAGAAACCGGGGCCTGCCTCTGCTCACGGCAGAGGTCACGGCAGTCTCCGATGTGCTCAGAGTCCTTGCTGCGGGGCATTGGTGCTCCAGGACCCCTCGCCGGAATGTGTGGGGAGCCCCCAGCCCTTAGCGCCAGCCCTGCCCCTTCCCGCCATGAGGGCCCTACCTGGACACTCTCGAAAACGTGCTCGAAGGCCCTGGGGATGACGCCTCTCTGGGAAGGCGGGTCCGGCAGGCCCTGCATGGTGAAGGACTTCCCGCTGCCCGTCTGACCGTAGGCGAAGATGGTGCCATTGTAGCCCTCGGTGACACCCTGCGTGGGGGGACCACAAGCCCGGTGCTCAGCTGGCCGGGCCCAGCGGGACTCGGGGCCCCTCCCCAGGTGTCATGATGGCACCCGGCCGGCAGGCAGTGCAGAGACGAGTGAGCCCCGCTCTGCCCCCAAGGAGCTCACCTCCTGGTGGGGAGTCTGACACACGCAAGTGACCCTCATACCAGGCAAGCGGAGGTGTCCGGGGAGCGGGCAAGGGGGGGGGCAGACAGAAAAGGGGGAGCTGCAAGGTGGCTCAGGGTTCAGGAAGAGGATGGCTTTCCAGGCTGATGGGAGCACAGAGCGGGCAGAGGCTGAGGACAGGTGGAGCGGGAGGAGGGGAGAGAAGACAGGAAGGAAGCCAGAGCAGCACTGAAGTAGGTCTTCATTCACAGACACATTTATTCATTCCGTAGGCACAGGCACCACGCTCTAGCTGGGGACATGGTGATGAACAAGGCGCAACCCCAGTCCCTGCCCTCGCAGAGCTCATGAGCTCATCGATTCTAGAACTCAGCATGGGGGAGGGGGGAGCCTGTGTCAGCACAGAACGGCTGCTCCCAGGCCCCGAGGGCCCACCTGGCATCTTCGCCCAGCGACACTGCCAAGACCCATCCTGTGGACCACCGAGGGGCCCGGGATCCCCAGGGACTGCTGCTGGAGGAGACCCCAAGTCACGATTCACGGCTTCTCGGAGGCCTAGGCCTCATTTTTACGGGCAGAACTGGACAAGCACCTCTGCTTTGTCCAAGGAAGCCCCGAACGCTGTGTGGGTTCCTGCACTTCATCAGAGGGAGGGGGGCTGCATGAAGGGACAGCCCCCTGAAGGGGTGCGGGGGGCAGGGCAGAGCAGTCACCTGCTGGAAACCTCAGAGCCGGGGACACCTGCAGCCCCAGGATCAGATGGTGCTGGGCCCAGAGTATCTGAGTCACCCAAACCCGGAGAAGGTGTTCTACACGAAAACAGAGATGGCTTCACTGGTGGGTAGGGTAGCCAGCAGCCATGCTAGAAATGGGCCCAGTGGGACTGAGAAACTGAATTTCTTTGATTTGATTTAGTTCATTTACATTTAACTGAAGCAGTAGGAAATGTTTTTCCATTAAGCATCACTTTATTTTTTGTTTCATTTTAACTGTTAACACTCGAGCATCTGCAAGGAAACATGCTACAGTGTAAAACACAGCTGAGTTCAAAGACTGCATGAAGAAAGAATGGGGAATACCCCACTGTCACTGCATGACGACATCTATCAGCGTGTTTTCTTGAAATAAAATTTTGGGTATACTGGGTTAAATAGAATTTATTATTAAAGCTAATTTCATTTTGTTTCCTTTCCCTTTTTAAAATGCTCTGCTGGGGGGGCACCTGGGTGGCTCAGTGGGTTAAAGCCTTTGCCTTCGGCTCAGTCATGATCCCAGGGTCTTGGGATAGAGTCCCAAAAGGCGTCAGGCTCTCTGCTTGGCAGGGAGCCTGCTTCCCCGCCCCCAACTCCGCCTGCCTCTCTGCCTACTTGTGATCTCTGTCTGTCAAATTAAAAAAAAAAAAAAATCTTAAAATAAAATAAAATAAAATGCTCAGTTGGTTGAGCGTGGGACTCTTGGTTTAGGCTCAGATCATAAGGGGTCCTGGGATCGAGCCTCGCATCGGGCTCCCTGCTAAGCAGGAAGCCTACTTCTCCCTCTCCCTCTGCTTGTGCTCTCACTCTCTCTCTCAAGTAAATAAACAAAATCTTTAAAAAATAAAAAACTTAAAATTAAAAAAATTTTTAATTAAATTAAAAATTAAAAAGTCACACCTCTCATAAATCATATATATAAAATAACAAATATCTTAACAAAATAAAGTATGCTTACTAGAACATTTAAATTAAGCATGTGGCTCACGTTACATTTGTACTGGAGATCCTTGCTCCAGAGCTGGGATCTTCAATGGGGCGGCCACTAGCCACATGTAGTTATTTAATTTTTTTTTTTAAAGATTTTATTTATTTATTTGACAGAGATCACAAGTAGGCAGAGAAGCAGGCAGAGAGACAGGAGGAAGCAGGCTCCCCACCCAGCAGAGAGCCCGATGTGGGGCTCGATTCCAGGACCCTGGGATCATGACCTGAGCCGAAGGCAGAGGCTTTAACCCACTGAGCCACCCAGGTACCCCGTAGTTATTTAAATTTAACTTGACTTTAAACAAAATTAAAATTCAGTCCTTCAGTAGCACTAGCCTCTGTTCAGGTGCTCCCCTGCCGTTGATGGCCGGTGGCAGCTCGAGACAGAACATTTCCACCGCTGCAGAAAGTTCTACAGAACAGGATATCATTCCACAGCGAGGTAGAAAACAATTTTACGTGCATTTTTAAGGCAAAACATAGGATTTCAAAAAGTTTTCACCCATCAAGTGATACCTCCAGAGCTGCAAGGGCAAGCAGACAAGTTTGCCCGAGGAACAGGTCCTGACTGTGGCCCCTCGTTCCTCCACCCCAGGGTCCACACGTCTCCCTGCTCTCTTACCAACCAGCAGACTTGCAGGAAATCAATGGCTAATGGATTCTTTTAACTCGATGTCACCCTTGGCAGTAATTCCCATGAAACTGCATTACAGGCTGGATGTGCTGAGTACTTTTCTTCCCTTACATTAAACATGTAACTACTGCAACTGAAATTAAAAGCATCTGTCCAGGGGCTCTTGGGTGGCTCGGTTGGTCAAACGTGTGACTCCTGATATCAGCTCAGGTTGTGATCTTAGGGTCTGGGGATTGAGTCTGCTTCTCTCCCTCTCCCTTTGCCCCTCTCCCCACTTGGGTTTTCTCTCTCTCTCTTCCTCTTTCTCTCTCTGAAATAAATAAACCTTAAAAAAATTTTTTTAAGAGCATCTGTCCTAAATTGCTTCATGTCCCCCTTCCGCCCCTTCCCAAGCACACCACTGAATGTCCCATCTGGGGACCGAATCCCATGGCTTCTACTGCACTGATGTCTGGGCGTGGTAGAAGTCATGGTACCTGGCCTGTGGCTGGGCTGGGTACGGTTCATCAGGGGCAACTCCAAGGCCATGGGTGTGAAGCCGGGAGAAGGGGCAGATGGCAAAGTCACTGGCTGGGAAAGAGACCGTCGACCAGGTAGCAGGCCAGGCGTGGAAGTGAGGAGCTCAGGTGAGAATGGGGTGAGGAGGTGGAAGTGGGGGGTTTAGGGTGGGCAGCACCCAGGAAAGCCAAAGAGATCACCCAGGGACAGAGAAGATCAGGAATAGGGACTAGATTTGAGGCCTGGAGAAGCAGGAAAGAAAAGGGCAGGAAGGGGCAGTCAGAAGTGCTGGGGGCTTTGTGCAATAGGGACCCAAAGTCAAGGGCCTGGATGGAAGGCCCCATGGAGATGGCAGAAGCCCCAGGAGAGCCTAAAGTGGGCTCAGAGCCCCGCCAGGCAGACCCACAGCCCCGACCCTAATGGCACAGCTGCTCCTGGCTCAGAGTCACCTGAGCTGTGCTCGGCGTGCTGCTCATTTAATGGGAGGCAGCAGGATGGAGCACGGGACCAGACACTGTGCTGGGTATCAAAACCGCCCCTAACTCATTCTGTGATACTCCAGACCTCAGTTTCCCCACCAAGAATGAGGACTCCAGCTCTATACTTGTCCCCAGAGTCAAATGCAGGCCTCCACCTGGAAGGCCCCTGCCTCCACCTTCCTACCTGGCTTCCCCTCTCTTTCTTCAGGTCTCAACTTAAACCTCACCACTTTCAGGAAGCCCTCCCAGCCTTCCCCTCCCTTCCTATACCCTCCAAGCCCAGGTTCTCCAGCTGTCAACATGCCCCAGGCTTCCTCTCCCCTTCATCACCTTGGATTGTAGTATTACAACCCTGGAATGTGGGCAGGGGGCTGGAATTGGTGTATTAGCTTAGCTGCTCCTCCCCATGACCATGAGCTCACGGAGGGCAGAGGCCACGCCTTTCAGGGCTGGTATGGAGCTGCTACTTTTTAGCTGAATGGGTGAATGAATGAAAATGAGCTTCTGTCATGTTGAATTCAAGGCTCTGGGGGATGTCCAGAGGCAGGTGTCTGGCAGAGAATCCCAAGAAGTGGGGGAACTCAGGAGAAGAGGGAGAGCCAGAGGGGAGATGTGATAGAAACACCGTCCTTAGTGTCTCCTTACCTGGGGCTGGGGTTTCCCGAGGAAGTGCTCAGGGGAGTACTTCCAGGATGAGGCAGGGACCCACGAGCAAGGCCAAGGGACTCAGTCTTGGAATCTAAATCTCTAAGGGGCCAACCCTGGAAAAGGGAGCAGAGGAGGTCTGTAGGGCCTCAGGGACAGAGCCAGGACAGGCAGCTAAAGCTTCAGGGACACTAATTCTGACTCACCACGCAGAACAGTCTTCTAGGCGCCAAGAAGCTAAGGGGAAAGGGGCTGCTTTGGGAAGAGTGAACTTCTGCCACTGGGTGGACATTCAAGGACCCAGTGGGGAGAGGGGGCGCACCAGACACAACCCCTCAGGTCCCTTCTAGCCTAGGAGTGTGACAGCCCCCCAGTGCAGAAGGACAGCCTAGCCATCCCCAGTGTCTGGGACCACAACCTAGGGAGAGCTGCCCTCATCTCCCGGGCATCATTTCCATAGGGCCCTGACCACTGGGGAGTTCTGGGCTTCAGAACACTTCAATGCTCTCAAGGGAGGGCTTTGAGCCTGGTAGAGAAATGGGGCAGTCGAAGGAGGTGCTCTGGAGGATTTAATTGGCCTGCCAGCGAAAACAACAAAGGTTCTACCACGCATTTTGGAAACACTGGGTTTAGGAAGTCAAATCAGTTTCTTCACTGCAGGACTCTCCAGAACCTCAGGTACCTGAATATGCCTTGGGAAGCTTCAAGCGAAGGATGTAAGCACCATTTCCCAAAGTTGTCCTTTTTCCCTGGGACAACCTGTGACATCTCACTTAACTAATGACTCGCTGAATGGCTGGGGAGATGCCTTGGGAAGAGCCTGTGGCCAGAAGACATGAGGCGTAGCTCCAGCCACTCCCCTGCTGGAAGCTTGGGCAAGTTTCCCTCTTCTGGGCCTCAGTCATCCTATCTGTGAAATGTGCAAGCCACCTAGTGTGAGTGCTCCGGAAAGCAAAAGCCCTATGAAGGGTGACAAACTGGTGTTGCCTCTTTGTTCCTCAACTGCTGAGAGGAAGATGATGATGGGTTAGAACAAAGGGAAACGGTTTCCGTTCCTCCCAGACAAAGGCCGAAAGGAGGGAAGCAGAGATCTTTGTCGGAGGGAGGATGAGAGACGATTCTGGATGCTGAGGGGAGAAAGCAGAGGCTACAGCCGGGGAAGAAGAGGAGGAGGCTGGGGGAAGAGGCTTGAGCATTTGGAGAAGTCCTCAGGTCCTCAGCTGATGGTGGAGGGCAGGCAGTCTTGGAGGCTGGAGCTCTTGTGGGCAGGGGGCTGGGAGGGGTGGGGGGCGAGGGCCAGCTCTGGCCTTGCAGACAGTGGACACCGGAACCTGGACGTTGTAGGTGGGTTCCAGCTGTCTCCTACCTAGACAAAAGACTTCAGCCCAACCTGTTGGTGTCCACCTACTTCCTCCAGAGGGGCGTCCCAGCCCAGCTCGGGAACAGCGCTGTCCCTGCAGGCCCCCTGGGCGGCGGCCCCCCGGGCGCCCTCACCTCCACCAGCGGGTAGGCGATCTCGTTGTAGATCTGCTCGGTGAAGTGGTCCATGTAGTAGGCGCCGTCGAAGGTGAACTGCTTGGGCGGCTCGTCGGCGGCGCCCGGGTTCTGGATGAAGCACTGGCCGCGCGCGGAGTCCACCGTCACCACCGGCTGGCAGTTCAGCTCCCGCTCCCGCTGGTTCATGGGGCGGCAGCGCACCACCACCTTCACCGACTCCGAGGCCATGGCGCCTCGGCGGGGGTCCCCCCGGCGCGGCCTGACGTGGGCGGTGCGGCCAGGACTCAGGGCCGCTGGGGTTAGGGGGTGGGGCCAGCGCTGGGCGCGGGGGGCGGGGCCTCGCGGCGGGGGCGGGGCCTCGCCCGCCGCCGGGGGCCGGGACTCCCCGCGGAGCGCCCGGAGAAGAGAAGGGGCGCGGCGGTGGGGTCGCAGGACCGGAGCCGGGACCGCCGCCTCCTCCCGCGCCCGGGCTCGCCCGTCCCTGAGGCCCGGCCCGGGGAGGAGGCAGTGGGGGATCCGCGCTGCAGGCGCCGCCGCACGACCGGAACCCCGGAGCCGCCCCAGCCGCCCGCGGGCACGCGCGCCGCCGCGGCGTTCGCGGTTGCCCGGCAACGCCTGTGGCGTCACAGCCGACGGCTCCCGGGGATGGGGGTGGGGGGTCTGCGAGTTCTCGGCACCCAGCCCCTGGGAGAGTCGCGCAGGAGTCTAGCTGTTGGCTGGCCGGGGCGGCTTGCTTCGCTGGAGCGTCAACTCTCTCCTCTAATCCCCACTGCCCAGTTCAGAGAGGTTAAGCAATCTGCCCGAGGTTGCTCAGCTAGGACCGGGAGAGATGCAGGAGGCAGGCCTTCAAGCGGTAGTTAGAGGCCTACTGAGAAAGGCGACAGGGACCTTGCTGCCTTTTACCCACACCCCTCTACTGATTCAGGGGAGGGCTGCCTCCGACAGAGCAAATCTTCCTTCTTATGCTGCCCTCATTTTTTCTAAGACAAAGGTTAAAAAACAGAACAAAACCATTTTTGAGAACCGAAGTCTTTTGGCCAGAGAGGTTGCCAGGCCAAAATCCCCCGGCTCAGCCCAAGTCCCTCCAGCCGGAACGGCGACTGTCATTTCCTTGCAGGAAGTGCCCACTGAGGATTTTAACAGAAGAGACAGGATTTGAATTAATCTACCTATGCTATTCCTTCAGGACATCCTGAGCCCCTGAGGACAGGAGCCCTCTGGTTCGCCACCCAGCACCAGCTAAAGTTATGGTTGGCAAATCAAGATAGGCAAACTGGACAAAGACCTTGACTTTCAAAGGAAAAGTCTGTGCTAGACAATTGGAAGAAATGCATTTTATTTGTTTCAAGTGCACACAGGAGAGTGGGTTACCCAGATGGTGCCAGTTGGAACAAAGAGAAAACTGATCTATGGTTAAGACATTGAAGCATCTGCACACGTGGGTCAAAACCCTTGCCCTCTGCATACCACGTGATGAGTACTGTGTGAAGGAATGTTAAAGTGCTTTGAGAACATTCTTGATACCTTGTCCACATGGAGGATATGCTCAACGATACCCATCTCTCACAGAGGTAGGCTTTGGCCTCAGGCCAGGCCAGTCGCCAGGTCTTAAACACATGTCTCCGGTGCTGTAATTCCAGCACCCCAGGACACCCCGTGTCGGCAAACCCCTCTCTTTGCCAGGGAAATGTGAGACCAGGCCTCGCACAAGGGACCATGGGTTCTGGTGGAGATGGCTATAAATTGAGTCCCAGTTCCCCCTCCCATTCAGTGTAAACCTAGTGCTGTGGTTCCAGTGAGGAACCTCCTACAGGCACCTCCTACCCCTGCTATCCCTTGTGATGAGAGTGACATGGTCCCCAGCCCAGCCCATTCCCTAGGCAGGAGGTTGTGAGCTGGGAAGCCAAGGTCTGACCTCCAGAGGAGCCTCCCTTCTTTCTCTTTCATCAGGGCCGCCCTCTTCCTCCCAGGAGTCAGAAATCATCATTTTCAAGGCATAGAACAGTCACATCCCACTCCCAGATGTGGGAGAGGGCAGCCCCCAGATTCGTGACTCGGCCTTTGCCTCAGGAATAGAAGTTCCTCCAAAGTGAACCTGTTCCCTAAGTAATTCGGTACTTCTGTCCATCTTTCGAGCTTACTTGTAAAGGCGCTGGGTACCTGTCACTCACTTCAGGGCCACTATCTTAGGCCCGAGTCATTTCCCTGTTACCCCACCCACCCCGCGAGGCCCAGGCCCCTCTGGCAGGACCCACATCAGTTCCACCTTTGGATGGTTCTGCTCTGAGTCCAACCCCAGTGCGGCAGGCCTGGTGAGGCGGCCCCTGACAACCACGGCCAGCACCCTGTTGTGGGGAGTGGGCCAGAATCAGGTGGCTTCCCAGGCAACCCCCAAACCCAGACCGGTCCGCAGGATGAGCTGAATAGGACCCTGGTCACCCTGCACACCTGTGGCTCACTGCGGGCCCCTCCTGGTCAAATGCACAAAGGAAATGAGCCTGTGTGTGTGTGTGTGTGTGTGTGTGTGTGTGTGTGTGTAGGGGTGTGTGTCCCGGTGGTCCTGGGGGTGTGGGGGCGGGAATCACAACCCTGTGGATTTGATTGGAGACAAACCAGCCTTTCTAAGCAGCACAGAGTTTCTTTGCACTGTTGGCTCACATCCCTTCTAGACACAGGTGTCCGCGTGTGTGCGGGCGTGTGGGGGGCGCGGCTCTTCGTCCATCCTGCCTTTCCATGCCCTCCTAAGCTTCATTCCTAAGAATGGAATTCACAGAATTCAGTGGAAGACTCCCTCGCTGTCAGATGCTGTGAGACACAGGCTACGCTCTGCCGGCGGGCCCAGCCGCCAGGCCCGTCAGCTCCTCCGAGCGCTCTCCGTTTCTCTCCTGGAGAGGGTGGCTCACTCCCAGGTCTCTGCCCACACTGAGGACTCACTCCAGCCTCCCCAGTCACCTCTCCCTCATGTGCCCAGCCGCCTCAGTCGGGTACTGTCGGGAGACTCCCGGTCAGGGCCCCAAGGGCTGGCCTCTTTGGGAGAGGACCACATCCCTCATGAGCAAACCTTCCTGCCCCCTCAGCAAGTTCCCCTCCCAGGAGTAAAGTGAAGCCCAGAGACAAGCATCCGAAGTCACCCAGCCGGTGACTGGAAAGCCTGGAGCTCCGCCTGCCCCGCCTACAATCTCCACGGGCCACATGTCTCGTGAGAAGCCACCAGCGATCCCCAGTGTCAGGGCTCCCCCCTACCACAGGCGGTGACATGATGGAAGACTGGTCCGAGGGGCAGAGTCGGCGGGTGGAACTGGTGATCAGCAGGGCAGCAGAGGGGCAGGGCGGCCTGGTGAGGCCCAGGAGCCAGGGTGAGGTAGGGCCGGGGGCTCGCCTCCTAGCCCAGGCCCTGCAGCTCTGCCTCGGACTTGGCATGGCCAAGGGGCCGCAGTGTCCGGGGGGGTCTGCCCTCGGACCGGCAGTCCTGCTCTTCGTAGCTGGGGTTCAGGCGGCCCATGTCAAGGGAGCAGAAGAGGCTGCGCTCCGTCCCAGCGTGGTGCTCCAGCAGGGCCTCCAGGCTGGCAAACTCGGCTGGCAGGTGCTAGGGGGGCAAAAAGGCTGAAGCTCTGGCTTCCCTTCCCCCACAGCTCCGCTCTGGGCACCCCCCATCCCCTCACAAGGGATCCTGCCCCACTTCAGAAGGGAGGAAATTCGACCTCAGAGAGGTCACCATCTTGCCTACGGCAGAGCCAGACACTGTCTCCTCTCTTTCTGTCTCACCAGCCTGGACGGGACTGAGCCATTCATCTTGTAACAAGTGCGCACATCCAGCCCCTGGAAACCTGTGGTCAGGCCAAGACTCCAGACCTGGAAGCCCAGAGGCTGGGTGAGGTTAGGCCAGTGTCTGCCCTCTCTGAGTCAGTTTCCAGCTCTGCTAAAAGACGGGCTATGGCGTGGGAAAGCCACTTTTAAGAGCCGGGATTCCTATAGAAATGGGAAGCATGACCAGGGCCCAAGACTCTGAGGGCATCTGGGTGGCTCCCACGGTTAAGGGTCTGCCTCGGGCTCAGATCATGATCTCAGGGTCCTGGGATCAAGCCCAGGGTCCGCTCCCTGCTCAGTGGGGAGCCTCCTTCTTCCTCTCCCTCTGCTGATCCCCTTGCTTATGCTTGCTCTGTCTCTATCAAATAATTAAAATCTTCAAAAAAACAAAAAAGGCCCCTCTGGAGGCCCGAGGGTGGGGCCAGCTGGACCAATAACAAACTAGATGGAGAGTTAGTTAAATAAGGGGTGTGGCCAGAGAGAACCAATGGGGTACCATGATGAGGCACGTGGGCCCCCCCCCCCAAGCTCCGGTTATAAAGGGCGGGACTTGTGGGGGCGGGGCTTGTGGGGGCGGGGCCCCGGGCAGGGCCCAGTGGCAAGGGGGGAGCAGGCTGCTTGCTTGCTCACCTCCACGCAGTAGCGGCCCAAGTGGCTCCGGAAGACCTGGTGGGGGACCACACCACACTGTGTCCGCACCGACAGGCACCACTGGCCACTGGTGCCGGGCTCGGGCCACAGCAGGAAGGCTCCAAGCACGTCTCTCCGCAGCAGGGCGAGGGCGCTGGGCCTGGCAGGGCAGCAGGGAGAGGCTGAGGGCAGGACTCCTGCCTCACGTCACTCCCCGGGGTTGATGGCATCACCTGACCCCTCTGCCAAGGGAAGCTTCCTTCCTAAGAGGCGCTAAGGGGCCTTTGACTGCTGACCACTGCAAGACCCACCCTGGAGAGTTTTGAAGAGGTGGCGGTTAGGAAGCAGCTGCCCTGTGACAGGCGAGGTGCTGAGAGCTTTCCCTGAGTGACCCCATTTGATCCTCTCCACAGGCCTGCAATTATCCCCATTTCACATTTGAGAAAACAGGTCCAGTGGGGGAAGCCCCTGGCCCCAGGCCCACCAAGGCTAGGACGGCTCTGCCTCTGTCCAGGAAGGCGGCACACCTCAGGGCCCTGGGGCAGCCCAGAGCCCATTCCTCTGCCCACCCCAAGGGGCTGCGTGTGCACCAGCCAGGCCAGCCTCCCCCCCCACCCCGGTACCTGGAGATGCCAGCAAAGGCCCAGATGTTCTCCGTCAGGCTCCCCTCGCTCTCCACCAGACACGAGGGGCCACCAGGCCCCCGGGGCCACGCCTCCCATGCAGCAGGAACTGTGGAGACCACCCAGGGGTCAGAGAGAGGAAGAGGCCGCCCCACAGCTACCGACCCC